ACCTCATCTTCAACAACAAGAAAGATGAGGAAGACACCCAGAGTTGAGCCCTGGCGTGCACTTACGCGCACCCCTCCCACCGCAGGCACACGCACCTTTTTCATGTACGCTTATGCGCGTAAACTTATACAGGACAGGCCCCTCCGTACAGAGGCATAAAATGTCTGAGTGCCACCGGGAAAGTAGAGCGGTTCTCTCCCCGTGCCTCTCGGCCTATGAGAGGCATATGGGGGAAGTAGACTGTTAGCTTGTTGGAATTTGATATAAAAACTAAAATTTCTTTTTTAAAATGTGTCTGGCTAGTTTTATGAACTTTTTTTGTGACAGTACTCGGGCTTGAACCTAGAACCTCGTGTGTGCTAGACAAGGTCTGCCACTGAGGTGGTATAGATGTGGGTGTGGCCTGCTGTCAGGACAGATGCAGAGCCCTTTGCTGTGTAGTTCTCCAAAGGCTTCCAGAGATGCTCTCGTTGACTAAGGAAAAGTTGTGTAGGTTTGTGGCCGACTTCTCCCAAAGTCTTTTTGGCAGTGTGTGTTTGCTTCAGTTCTTCGGATGTCTGTGGGCTGATAGTCATGAATGAGGACCACCCAGGAAACTGCCTGTCAGCCAGAAAGACTGAATTCTAGACTCAATGCTGCCAGGGTTTTGGCCTGCATTAATACCATGAGCCATTCTGTCCAATAATGTCCTACTGGTTTTTAATTCAGTGAAGTTCTGCTGCAGGAGGCATTGAGGCAAGATACACTTTTCCTAAACCCAGGGACTGAAATTCCTAAGTATGGAAGAGAGGGAAAGAGTGGGTGTGAGAGATAGAACATAAAGTTCTTAAGGATGAAAGTCTAAATATTGGGAGATTGGAATAGTTTTGACAGGAGACAAAAATTGAGAGATTTGTTTAGAAGCAGAAGCAGAGTTTTGACCCTTGGAAATAAGTAGAAAGGGCTGGAGAAATGCTCAGTGGGAACCTGTTGCCAAGCCTGGACCGCCTCAGCTCAGTCTACAGAGCCCACTCCTTCAAGCTGTTCTTGGATCTCTTTGTGTGCTTTGTGGTGCACACAAAAACCCATACAAATAAATGTTTTTCTCTTAAAAAAAATCAAGATAAATGATTTGAGGCTCCTCTTTTTCTGGGACAGTTCCCTCCATATTTATACACGTGTGTATACATATGCATGCAGTTTTTTAATTTTGAAAAAATAAATATATCATTTTCTCACTTCCATTTTCTTCCTGTAGTACCTTCCATTTCCCTTCCAGTACCCTTCCTAAGGGTGAGCCCTTGATTGGCCATCCAAGTGGACTGAAGTCATTTCTGCACAAGCAGCACATAAGCGGACCTGGAAGGATGCGCACACGAACTGCTATTTTTGTTACAAGCTGTAAAGCAGATGTCTTTCATTTTGCTTGGCTGGCCAATATTCATTTGTTGTTCTTTCGTCAGACAGAGCTGTAATTGTTTATAAGAAAACAAAACTTGTGGCTGGACATAGTTTTGCATGCCTATGGTCCAGCACTCAGGAAGCTGGGGCAAGAGGATTTCAAATTTGAGGCTAGCCTGGCCTGCATTCTAATATTCTAGCCCAGACAAAGAAAAAAATGTCTACCCAGAGAGAAGGTGTAAGTGTTACAGTTACAGACATTCCTCATTAATTCTTTAAAGGAGATTCAGAAAAGCAGACAGGAAAACTGAGTCGTTTCAACTTCCTGTAACTTCAAAAGAGGTTGAATTAAGTAACTGAAGCTTTTGAATCATATTTAACACCAAGTTATGTATTTATTTATTTTTAGAACAGCTCACAAAGATCCTGTAAGGCCTTCTGTGAATGCATGATATACCTCAGATATTTTATTAAAAATGTTACACACCTAATTTGTCTTCTTACCATCTTCTAGTGCTGATCAGTAAGGCATTGTTTTTCTTTCTATTCATTTTCTGTCCTCCAACTGAATAAAAATTTCTAGACTGTTTGTATTTCATTCATCATTGTTGCTCTGCTGTCTCAGCGCAGGAACCAACACCTGCTATTGCAGTGTCAGTGTATTCAGCCGTCCAGCTTGGCAAGCCCTGCAGTCATCTGCACAGGGACAGTACCTAGCATCATCATGAATGCCTGTCTGTTATCAGATGGCTCCCTTTACATCCTGCTATATATCCTGCAGTGTCTCTGAGCAGAAATTCACTGTTTTACAGGCTTACTAAACACCACAAGTGAAAAACAAGACCTCAAATATCTGTATTCTCCACTTTTAAAAATCATTTCATCCTTTAAAATTCACATGCAATGTCATATTCTTGAAGCTGTGTGTTTTCATAGACACAGTTACTGGTCCTTAGTGTTCCTGTAGCTCTCGGGGTGAAGAGATTATAATTGGAAGTTTAGGAAACAGCTGTGTGTAGTCATTGGCTGGTAAAATGCCTGTGTCTTAGAGGGGCATGGAAGCCTGATTGGAGGAGAGGCTTGATCATGGAGACAGTAATCTTGGTAATTATGAGATCTGGGCTTTAGTCCCAGCAGCTGGGAGTAGATCTCTGCTGGCTTGACCCAGACACAAGTCTCATTAACTTGATTTACGGAGATCTGTTAGATAGTTATTGTCTGCAGTTACATATAGGAGACTGTGTGCTTTTCCCATTGTCACACTGTCTAGTAACAGGACCGATGTTCCTGAAATGCTGAAATGATGCTGAACAACTGTGTCTGACTCAATTTCCTGAGCTGGGCTTGATGTCCTGCTCAGAATAACAACACTGAACTGTGGGGTGCTTTCTGGATGTGTTCATCTTGGTCTTTTAGGATAATAATGTCCGGGAGAGCATGTCTCTGAGATAGAAACTAGTGAATAGGCACGAGCTTACAAAAATTGACTTTACACCAGTGTTAAAATGCTCTATGACACACGTATTATAGACATTGTCTTAGATATTCCCTTTAGATATTCCTAATTTCAAAATCCACAACCAGTAGCTACACGTTTCAGTTTATTTCATGCTTGCCACACCTTGTGGGATGTTTTATTGTCCTCACACAGACCTGAGAAAATTGGTGGGAGGATATTGAATGCCTCCAGTCACAGGTCTTGTTAGAAGTGATGATGTTTCATTAATAAGCATTTCTGTGTTCATCATTTCACTTAGCAACTATAGTACTTAAAAGTCCCTTTGAACAGTGAATGATGAAACATATTAAAAAATAAAAATAATAAAAATAGAATGGCTGCATACCGTGAGTTATATAGATATTATAAATTATCCTTTTAAACTTTAAGGGACAAAATCACCTTAACTTAAACCTCAAGAATAAATTCCTGTAATACAAACTTCTGGAGAAATCGTAAAAGGACAAAACTGGAAAAGAAACCATGAATATGGTTCACACTTGAAGTAAAGCATTATAAAACACATAAATTAATATTGAATAGATTACATTTATTTAATGGATGTATCTGTAATATTTGAACTCACATATAAATTGTTAGAATTTTAAAAGATAAACACTATCAAATCCAGCTAAGGAAAAGTTCAGACTCAGAATCAACGATTTGTCGCAAATTTCAAATTTGGTGAATGCTCTGACCCTATGTTTTTGTTGTTGTTGTTGTTTGTTTGTTTGTTTTAGTTTGTTTTACATTGTATTATTTCACTGGAAGAACCTCTTCAATCATTTTTTCTCTTTTGAATAAATTTTTTTCTTCTTAAAAAAAAAAAAAGAAGTGATGATGTGTTTCGACCTCAGGGTTTCTACATACTGTAAATATGTAAAGAATAGAAATGTGTGTCAACTTAGTAACTTAACTAAATGCCAACTACTGATTGTGAATCCAGTGATAAACATAGCACGTTGCTGATAGTGATATAATTTGTGTGAATTTCTCCTTTCAATTACCACTGACATAATCAATAACCAGATTTTAGAAATGTTGCTGTGAAACATTTACTAGAAGTACTGCATTCTACTCTCCAAGTCAATCAATCGATTAATCTCTCTCTCTCTCTCTCTCTCTCTCTCTCTCTCTCCCCCTCCCTCTCTCTCCCTTCCTCCTTCTCTATCATTCTCTCTCTGTGTGCACATTTGCATGTGTAATTTCTCTGTACTGCATTAATGGGCAGGTGCATGTTTTGATAATGTCCACTGAAATCTGCTTTAATTGGTCCTGTTGTAGTTTTACTGGCCATCTAGTTGTGGCATGTATACATGCCTGTGGGGAGGAGACATGTGTCTGATTGAACTCAGTTGGGACATTCCAAGGTTGTGTGTCTTAATTGGAAATAAGTATGCTTTGTCACTGGTTAAATCACTCGAAAAAGCCATAGAAATATGGCTTCCTGGGGCTTTTAAATCTCTATTAAGTTTCCTAAAGAATGAATGCTATATTCTCTAGAAAATTAGAAATAAAAGGGTAATTTAAATGGAAAAGCGAGTGTTGTACAAATAACTTGGAACAACAGCAACGACAAGAAAACTAAGCCCCAGTGCTGCCAGTGGGAGTTGTGTGAGAGCACATCAGACAGCTCGTAGGGGCCATGGACGCTGTGTGAAGTGAAGGCAGGTTCATAGGGCAGCGTCTTTTAGAATGGGTGCGAGTCATCCTCAGGTTTTGAAGGGAACACTTTGAGCATACGTTTTCACTGTTGTTCGTAGGAATAGATGATAGTCAGCATTTTGTTTTCCTAATCTTGTAAGTATCTGATGAGAGTGGCAGTCATACTTTGCATTGATTGAACATTAGAAAAATAAATGCTTTATATTAACTTGGAATAAATCGATGCTTTGAAAATACTCTTTTATAATTTGTATTAGTATATAAAATAGGTTTTATTATGGCATTGTTCACACAAAATTTGTTTTGTTGTTTCTCTTCTCCCCTGTTATTCGTCCTCTTGCACGCTCCCACCCTTTCTTCGTTTATGTCACATGTGTTCTTCACCCTTTCCTGGTCAACATCTCATTTCCGTTTTGTGATCTGTAAAAAAGTAAGGATGTGCTTTGTTTTTCTGCAGAAACGTGCTAAGGGGCAAGCGTTGTTTGACAGAGTGTGCGAACACCTCAATCTCTTGGAGAAGGACTACTTTGGACTTCTAATTCAGGAAAATCCTGAGCAGAAAGTAAGTGATTTCAACTTTATGTCTACTTTTTTTTTCTTATCCAGTTTAATTTTCAGAGTAATTTTAACTTTTATTTGCACATTTATTATGAGACTGTGGCAAATATTTAAAATGATCATGTGAGAGACTCACTAAAGCTTTTTGGCGTTTTGGGTTCAAATAATGCTTTCTCCCATCATAAGCAGATAGAATGGAAGGGAATGTTTCTTATCTTGAGATTGAAAAAACTGATTTTAAAATTATGAGAAAGCTTTAGCTCTTGAATTCACAGTGGAATCAATTATATAGCGAATTGTTGAGGGGAAAGTAATTCAAAACACATACATTAAATGATTCAATCTTGGGAAAATTGATGCTGTAATGTGAAGATTATCTTTTTAAGTAATATTATCTCAGTCATGTCCTATTTTTGCCTCATGGTGCTAAATACTGAGGCTGGCCAGTAGCTTCATTTTGCCAACATACAGATGAGCAGTCCCCTGGGTAGTTACTGAAAAAGCCTGAAAATAGGGAAGTGGGTACCAGAACTGTTGGGAGAAAGTACATGAGTGCTTGCTTAGAGATGTGGGAAGAAGTATGTGTCTTGCTCAGTGGACATGGGTGGCTTTGTGTGGGAAAGATACTGGTATCCCTGTGGTTGGGCTGCTGTAGGCAAAAGGTAGCTGGACCAGGTGATGCTTGACCAGGCAGTGCTGGACTGGCCCTTGGAGTTGAGCTGCCAAATGACAGGAGTGTGCCGAGATCATGTCTACTCTGAGTTTTTACAGAGCATAGTGTGGTGTGTGATCTGAAGTTTGTACTAATTTTGTAGAACTGAGATTTTCAGTTTGACAGGTAAATTCAGAATGGAAGTATTGACCCTTTCTGGCAGAACCAGGACTAACTTCTAGCCATCAACATTATTAGGAAAAGGGCCTTTCCTCTTATACCGTATTTTGTGAGTATCTATGATTGGTGTGGGTGAGAGATGTTGAGTAAAGGATGGAGGACTGAATTGGTCCAGAGTTGTACTCTACAGAGGAAGCTCATTTAGTATCTTAGATTGTTGCTGTGCACCGACCCCGTGTGAGCATTCTGTTAAGAAGTATAGAGCACTGAGTTATGGAGAAAGAGGTTTCTGTCTATTATCAAGCATTCACATCTCAAGCAGTAGAACACTGTAGCCATTGGAGGAAGCATAGTGCATATTTTGTTATTTGCCCGTACCGTGCCATTGTTTGTATTTACATATCTTAGTAATGAGATAAACACTTTTATTTTAAGGCATGATAATTATATGCAAATTAAGTTTTCTCAGCTTGCTCAGCTTTAACTCCCTGATCTGTAATTTGTGGTTTAATTCTACCTTCAGACTTAAGACAAATTGCATGCTTGCCTGCTGAATAGTATTTTTATTAGACTGTTTAGAGCAGTGTCCTCAGAAGTAATAACACACTTCACTAAACAAGCCAAATGCCTTTTGGAGCAGTGAATTACAAGTTGGTCTTGTAATTTACAAGTTGGTAATGGTTCCAATCATGTGCTTGTCTGTTACTCCTCAAAGCTCCAAAAGAGGAAGTGTTGGGGACTTGGCAACCATATCTTTTTTTTTCCCCTGAGACTGTTTATTGGTGGGTTCATAGGAATGTTTAATTTTTGTAAAATATAAAAACAACTCAGCTTGGTATTAACTCTTTGTTAGTACAGACAAAATAAACAGCACTAGGAAGTTAAGTATTTCCGGAACATTTCTTTTGAATAAGATACTACATAGAAATAGGATTTACTACTTTTTTTATTTTAAACTTTCAATACACATGTCTAGTTCATATCTTACACCTGAACCTCTGATCCATATACTCTGCTGTCTACTGAACACTCCTGGTTTAAAAGCAAACTTGATCTTCCCCTTGAATGGTGCCTGCCCCTGAAGAACAGTTTTGGATTCTTGTTTCTCCTTACCTCTATCAATAGTCAGGTGTCTGTGATCTCAGCCTTACTTAGAAACATTTCATGCATACAGTTTAATCTACAGTCATCGTGAGCTTTCTTCTCAGCAGTGACTCAGAGCAGTTGACAGTAAGTGCTTGCCAGATTTTGCTTCCCAAGTGAGTCTTGCTGGCGTATCTCCCTGCTCATACATAGCATTCCTCATGGCAGTTTCTTTCTCTTATTATGTAAGTGCCTGCCTTTCCTAAAGAGCTCTCTAAATATCTTACTATGAGAGAAGTTCTCCCACCCCAAGGCAGGCCTGTCTTCTATCTTCTTCTATCCCCAGCTCAAAGGAAGTTAGCAGTTTCCTTGTCATAAGCATATTTAGTAAAACCTCACGTGTGTGTGTGTGTGTGTGTTTTCTCCTCTTTACTCTGATTTTATCTGAAAATAGGCTGCTGAAGTCTAGTGAGGGGTAGAGTTTTGTGATGACAGAGTCCCAGGGTTTGGTTGTGGAAGGGGATGGCCAAAGTCTGGGAGCTTAAGATTGTTAAAACAGATACTACGGTAGGGAGCAGGCTGGGAGTACAGCTCAGAGGTGGACAGTTCAGCCTCTTCACCTCTGAGATATGTAAGGCTAGACATGGTGGGTTCACCGCAGCCTGCTCATTGACAGGAAGGTGCCAGTGCTGAAAAAGCAGAGCAGCGTTCCCTATTTAGTTTTTCTTAGGAAACGTCGCAGGAACACACTTGTGAAAGGGGATGGACACTTGCTGGCATGTAGTCTTTAACTGTAGAATGTCAAGAGCAGACAAAGAAGCATCCTTTGTGAGCCTCAAGGGACATGAACATGCAAGTGTAGCTGACTATTAAATTACATGTTTATGTGACTTTAACATTCACATTGCATAGCTTTTTGGATACCTTAGTGTTTATATATAATAAATACGTATAGACAAAATCCAGTTCTTAAATACATGTATGGCTGTGTGTAGTCTCTTTTTCTTCTCCTCCCCCCAGAAATCGTGAAACTGTCATCTGAACTTAGGTTCGTCATTCCTCCTTTGAAGTTCTTGAGGTTTCCACTGTGGATGTGGGGGTGTGTCTTTCTGTGTTGTGTATATGCCAAGCTCAACCACTTTGCTAGATCCCCAGCTCTGTGTTTCTTTCTCGTGCAAAGTATTATATGTTTTTAAAGAAGTCTCAGGTACTTACTTCAGCCTTTTGTAAAGTGGAATTCAGGCAGAGCTATAAATATTTTGCATAACAACTTGTCATCAGGGAAAAATCTCTACTGTCTTTGGTTAGTTGTTGTGACTCTGAGTTGGATGCCTCTCAGTTTATAGTGATTATGCTTTCAAACTTTTCAGTGTCCATTGAAAAGTCTCTTTTAAACCTTGCTATAAAAAATATTAAAAGTACATAGAATTAAGCAGCAGCATGTTATTCTTTGATACAGAATTATAAGTCTAAGTAGTTTTGGTATTCATGTTTAAATGAATTAATCATTAAAGATACTGAACTTTGTTTACAGAGAAAAGTCTTGAACTTCTGTTGTTAATAGAGTTAGGCATTTGGCCCAGGCATTATAAGTCGTTTTGCTACCAACCATATTGCAAGAAGTGCTTGTTAGAAGAAGCATAGTTGATAGGCAAGCTCGCTTTACGAAGATTAAAGCAGTTGTCTAATAGCCAGACCACACTTCCCCAGAAGCAGAACAAAAGCTCATAGTAAACCCTTTGCACATATAAACCAACTTTAAGCGAGATTCTATATTCAGTTCATCTAAACTTTATAACCTTCCATTCTCCAGATGGGTAGTAAGTGTCACTGTGACAGCAGCATTTCGGCAGACTGCCGTTGGACAGTGGAATGTGGTTCAGTGCGTATAGTGCACAGCAGTCTGCTTCAGCACCGTGTATTCTGTAGAAGAGTGGAGACTTAAGACTAGCTTCATCCTTCCAACATTTGCTACAACAAGATGACTTTAGTTGACTTTGTTAAATTCTCGACCCAGCTCACCCAGGGCTTCCCAGGACAAATGAAGACACAGGCAGACTGGTTTGGGGTGAGGGGTTCAGACTCTGGAATCTTAAGATCCAGCCTGAAGAGTCATGTGAGACTATAGAGTGGAAGGTTTTTGTTTTAGTTGCGTAGGTGTTGTGATTTCTGTTTTCATGTTGAAGAAATTGAAACTTCATGGGGACAAGTCATAGAATTGGTGCTAGGACTGCTAAGCCCAGAGTTTGCATCTGTGGCTGGAGTAGCCACTTCTCTAACATTGTAAGGACACACCCTCTGTTTCCCTAGGGGATAGCGTGTGTTTACGCTTGTGGATATCTGTCAACTTGCCACCATCTTTGATCTTATTATCTCCTTTATTCACTGACGCCAGTCTTCATTTCTTCCGTCTTGTGCTTTATCTTGTCCTTTCCTAAGTGTCAACCCAGAGAAGTTGCTTTATTTTGTTTCATTTTTTTTGTTTGGCAAGTATGCTGGGACACAGATTATGCTTTCCCAGCACTTGGAAAAGTGAGGAGGATTGGGAGAGCCAAGAACAACCTGACTGGGTGGTGAGACCCTGTCTTAAGAGTCAGAATCAAGGAGCGCAAGTAGTTTATGCTTATGTGTAAATGATAATCCAGAGACTATATTGCTCCATGGTCTCTGCTTCCCCAACCTGCAAGTGCAAGCCATATAAACATTAAACACTTCCCACCCCCAAGTTGCTTTTTCTTTTTCTTTTTTTCTCTTCTCCTTCCTTCCTTCCTTCCTTCCTTCCTTCCTTCCTTCCTTCTTTCCTTCCTCTCTCTCTCTCTCTTTTTTTTTTCTTTCACAGAAAAGCAGACTAGAGCAGATCTGACATAAGATGCTGCAACAGCCTTCTACTGTCTTGGCAGTCAGTGTTGTGGAAAGTGGCCTAAGAGTGACTATCTCAGTTTAGTTTGCCAACTTGTCACTCATGAATGTCTAGATCTGTAGAGCCTCCTTCCCTGACTATGATCAGGTATTGGAGGAATTAGTGCTAAGGATGGAAAGTGTGACAGCTGGTACCTATGGTTAGTCTGCGGGGTTACAGAAGATGTCTTCCATCGTTTTTTCCTGGAACACAGATGCCTTTGGCTTCTCTTTAGTAGTGTGTGCCTATCCTTAAGGAAACTGGAATTTGGCGGGGTCTGTCTGCGAGACCAGCAGAGCCCCCTTTCTGTCTTTTTTGTGCCCATGATGTAAGGGTTCTTGTTTGAGTTTGTACCAGTTGTCTGATTCTGTCTCTTTGTGTGACTTTTACTGTCTTGGTTTCACATGTCAACCTCCTCCACATCTCCAGCCCCAGTCCAGCCTGAACTAGGAGCTGAATGCTGTGCTTTTCCTGTTCTTATGCAGTAATCAGAGCTGCCCATTTGTGAGCCAGCTGTGTAGGACAACAGCTGCAGGCTGAGGACTCTGAATGCTACACTTTTTTTTTTTTTTTCTGAGTGGAAAATAGAGCTGCTTCCTAACATGGCACTGGAAGGACCATTTCAGGGACTCACTGGCTCTCACATTAGTGCATGCAGCTGGGACATCAGTGAGATTGGACCATGCTCCGGTGGCTCTGCAGAGAGAGCTTGGACTGTGATCAGTATTAGTACAGGGACACTCCTGCCTTGTTAGTTGTGTCTGGATCCCTGTGGCCAGAGTTCTTGTGAGTGGTAGTCAGATCTGAGGGCTGCTTTCCAAGGAGGCTGCTGTCAGTGCTTCTTAGTGGTGTGTCAGGGTCTGTTGTACCATTTCATAGACTGACAGGCACTTGTCTCTGAGGGAACAACAGACATTTTGTTCTTTCTGTGTGGGAATAAACCTGTGTTTAAATATAGGTGTTATGATGCATTACTATCAGATTTACTTGCTATAAAGGCAATTGTTAGATCAGTGTGTTGTTTCTCAGAAAATGCACTTGTTCTGCATTACAAAAGGGAATGGACTTCCTATGACTTAACAATAGGGTGGAAAACACAAAGTACAAATTTTGATAATTTGTGGGAAGTGTTTGCTTTAGTTTGAAAACTTTACTGTCTTTATGTGGCTCAGGTTTTGTTGGTCCCCCCCCTTCCTTTCTCCCTCCATCCCTCCCTTCTTCCTTTCCTCTCTCCCTCCTTCCCTCTGTCTCTCCCTTCCTCCTTCCTTCCTTCCTTCCTTCCTTCCTTCCTTCCTTCCTTCCTTCCTTCCTTCCTTCCTTCCTTCCTTCCTTCCTTCCTTCCCTTTGCTTTAAAACATAATGGTTTTTTGTTTTCTTTTGTTTTTGGTTATCTCTCTCAAAGGATAGAAATGAGAGGCAAATGGAAGGATGTTTCAGAATTTTGTTTTCTAAATTCAAATGAGAGAGGAAAGAAAAGAAAGGAAGGGACAATTTTTTCTCAAGATCAGAAAGGAAAATACTGTCTGTAATCTGACACGTTAGCTCTCTCCTTGGTATGGAGGAGTTACAGTGACTGGAGGCTGAAGGGTGTGAAGAAGTTGCCTTCCGGGGTTGAAGTGACTGTTTTGGATCAAGGCAGATGTACTTTTGAGCCAGCAGTTTCCAACTCACATTTTATTCTTAAGATAAACTATGAATGATTTACTATTTTAATGTCTGAGGGGTGATTTGTGAATCATTTTTTGTAATAAAAATTATATATAGATGAATTATAGCTAACCGCTACCATATTAAAGATATTTAACATTTTATCACATACACTTACACCCACTCACACATGTGCACTCAATTACAAACACACACACACACACACACACACACACACACACACACACACACACACACACACACGCATGCGCCCAGTAGAATGCTAACAGGTGAAAGCTGCTATAAGGTATGGACTGTAAACTGTTATACCTTTTAGCTACTTATGAGCTCTAATGTATATACTTATATAAACTGTTCCATGTGATTTGGAGATAGTTCTTATGGATAACTAACTTTTTCTTTCCTCCTACAGAACTGGCTAGATCCTGCAAAAGAGATAAAGAGACAGCTGAGAAGTGAGTAAAGAAACATACTTATATTAGTCCGTTACTTCTGCCTTTAATAAAAGCCTATAGGAAGAAATACTGTAATAGTAGCATAGGATGGAGTGAAGGCTTTCTTTTGGATGCTGAAATCAACGAAGATACTGTAGAAGTGGCTTTAGCTGGGCATGGTACCAGGTGCTTGGAGTCCTAACACTCAAGAGGCTGAGGCAGGGAATCCTGAGCACCAGGCCACTGTAGGCTGCACAGTGCGACCCTACCCTACACGGCAACAGCAAAGCCAAAGTATCGTGACTGTGGGTGGCTTAGAGACTTTTCCCTTTTAGGAGGCGGTAGGTTTAGGCTTACATGTGTGTGAAATCTGCTTGTATGAGGTAACAACCTGGCTTTTAAAAAACTATTTGGACATTTTGGGGTGACATTTATGAATGTGTGACATTTATGAATGTGTGCAGTGTGGGAGAGAGAGAGGGAGGAAAGAGTGCACGCAGTAGAGGTCAACTTTGGTGTCTTCCTTGATTATTCTCAGACTTGTTTTTTTTTGAGATAACATTTCCTCACTGAACCTGGAGCCCATGAATTTGACTAGATTGCCAGGCCGTTGAGGTTACCAAACTGCCTGAGTCTACAGTGTCTGCTCCCAGTCTAGGGTTTGGATGCACGCCACTGCTGTGCCCTGCTGTCACACAGGTGCTGGACATTGAATTGTGCAGATTGAGCATCTCTCCAGCCTCAGACTCTACCTTTTGTTTGAGACAGTTTGCTTTATGTATACCTAATATAATTGTACTGTTCCTTTTAATTTGAAATAGTAAATTTTAGTTGCTAAGCATGTCCTAAGCCCTAGGGGCACACCAGCTTGCACCTACCTAGTGCACAGTGCAGGGAATATGGCTCAATAGAAGTCTTTTTTCCAGAGGTGCTGAGGTGCCTATCTTCTCTACAGTTCATTTCCCCCAAAGGTCAAGACCACTTTATTCTGCCTGCTCCTTTTCATTTTCACCTTTTATTTTCCCTGTAGTAATTCTCAAATGGTTCCATGCTTCCCACCTAAGCAGCCTCAGGAGCCAGGAGAGGCATGCCTCTGTTTATGGCCTTGTAGGTGATAGCAGTGGCAAGAAATGTTAGCACCACGGAGAAGTCTCTGATAGGGTCCTGGTATTCACTTAAGACACGAGGAAGCCAAGGACAAGAGGAGTCCTTAGACTTGGGGCTAAAATTCTGAAGAACGAACAGTCATGGTCATCACAGTGCTTCTTAGACTGGGCCTGAGGGCTGTCCAGGGAGAACTAACCAGCAAAACTCCTGAATTGTTGATAACATTCGTACATTTTCTACTCTTTTACTATTCTAACATCAGAGCACTGAAACAGTTCTGTTTCTGTGTACCTCCTGTCTCCTCTTTTACTGTTCAGTCTTCTGTTTTATTATGTTTTTCTATCGCCTCAAAAACAAAGCTTGGTCTTACTATCGTCTTCCCCTTCTACATTTTATTTGTTTGTTTGTTTATTATTTTTTATTTATGTACAAGGTTTTACTGCTGCCTATGCTGGTAGTGAATTCATAGTCCTCATGCTTTAGCCTCCTGAGTGCTGGGATTATAGGAATGTACAATCATAGCTGGTTTTCTGCTCTTTGGTTTGAGCTTATATGTTGTTCTTATATCCTCTATTTGTAGATTCATCTCTTTTACCTTATCCAAATAGCTTTTCACTGGCCAGTCTTTCTGCCTTGTCTGGAACTTAGGCATACTCTGGAACTTGGGACTTTGAGTACAAAAGCTGGAATAGTGCCATGCGTTCTGGAATGGTTGGCTCTCTGAGCTTTGAGCTGCTCTGACGTCCCAGCATCCATTGCCTTCTTTCCTTTCTCCTTTGCATTTATTACTTCCTGTTTAATGCATGATGGAAAAGCAAAGAGGAAGTAGTGAGTAGACAGAGCTGCATTATGCTGGCATTATTGAGGAAACTGTCCCAGCAAAAAAAATTTTTGTCCCTTCTGCAACTGATACACACTCTGTAAAGTGTGTGTGCTAAGAAAATAGAGTTCCTGTACTTACTGTGAACCCAGAACTGGCAGGTGACCCAAGAGAGCAGGGCAATGTCTGAAATGTGATTGATGGCCCATAGAGTTCTTTACTGTAGTTTGTTTTGTGCCACTCAGATTTGTAGACATTTCCTGTTGGAAATTGCCCTTCAAAAAAAACTTAAAAAGAAAGTTTGAAAACATGAAAGGAGACTTTGAATAAAAAAGTGCTTAAAAAACTTGGAAAGCAAGACTCCTGTTGATTATGAATCATGTTCTTATGTCTTGGTTATTTATGAAGTGTTTTTTAAGAGTTATTTCAGGACATTTGCCTTCATGGTTTGGCAAAAGGAATAGCAGCACACGATTCAGTGTGGCTTTTTTAGACAGTAGAGTTCTTTAAATGATACCCACACTGTGTCCTCCATGAGTGCAGCTTAGAAAGTATAGTTTTCCTATCGCGGGCGATAAAGAACTCCTTTGATTTTATCCTAGTAGTTTTTTATAGGTAATAGGCAGGTAGAAGGACTTGCCTAGTGGTCCTCATCTAAAATTTGCCTTAAATTTTGGTTATTCTCTCAGTAGTATAGCAATTAGGCTGTATGTCTACAACCTGCCTGTGATTAATATATAAATAACCTGTAATTAATTGAACTATTTTTTATGTAAAGTTAGGGATAGCAATTAAATTGAAAATTACAAGTAGATTTTAAGTGTACTTACCATGAAAATAAGTATATGAGGTAATTTCTTGGTTAACTTACTTGATTTAGCCATTCCATAGTCTATACATATTTCATGTATCTTTTGTACCATAAATGTATACAGTTTTTGTCAGCTGAAAATCTTTAGCATTTTTGGGATTTGGAAATACATCCTAAAGTGCAGATACTCTAGTAAAAATGCATGCATGTAGTCAGACCTGTGTAGTTCTGTGCTGGTGTTAACATGTTTACCAGATAAACAGGGGACCCTTGGGAAAGGGTGGTCTGGTGAAGGGAGCCTTACTTGATTATGGCTTGGCTGTCACCCCATAGAATGACCATGCACAGTCTGGGTATTTGACAGTGGCATGGTCCTGCAGGTGCACTCTGAAACCTGAGAAGTCTTCATAAAGCAGTCAGGGTCTTACCCTACGTTCCTATCTTTAGAATATGTCGAACAGTCCTGTTACACAGAGCGTTGTTTCCTGATGGCTACTGCGAACACTTGAACATTTTCATCTTTTGCCAACAATTTGGAAATCCCAAGTATTTTTTGTTTTTAAAGAATGGGGAGTATTTAACAATGGAAATCCCATGGGTGAAACAGGTTTATCTCAGAACTATTTAATGGAGATCATTCAATTTATTGTATAATAAATTGCTATATAAAATACATAGTTATAAAAATTAAGCCTTTTTTCTTTAGTAGAGGCTTATATATGTTAATTTCTATTTTTTAAAAAACATTTCATTGGTAACGTCTAGGTGATACTAAATTACTTAAACAAAACAAACAAACAAAAAAAACAACAATCCCCCAAACCTGTAAATAACTAACATTTTATAATCACAGATCTTCCCTGGCTGTTCACTTTCAATGTGAAGTTTTATCCTCCGGATCCTTCCCAATTGACTGAAGACATCACCAGGTACCCTGTGTTTACATTTTGAAACGAATCTTTGCTTATAGCTATTATCTCTGTGTTCTGTGAGTACGGCTGTAAGCTGAAAGTCAAAGCAATAGAGAAAGTGCAGTATAAATCTTTGTAGTGTATGTGCACCACATGTGTGCATGCTTATCTGTGTGTGCACCACATGCATGTATGTCTAATACCCATGGGAAAGAAAAGGGAAATGAGCTATAGGCACTTCTGCGCTGGAGTGGGGGTGCTGGGAAGCAAAGCTATCTCTTTCCCCCCTCTAGGCATTTAATACATATCATTGTGTATGTGGGGGTGCATGCCAGGATGGACATGGGGAAGTAAGAGCACAACTTTGTGGAGTCTCTTTTCTTCTCCCACCTCTGTATGGATTGTAGGGAGTGAGCTCATATCTTTGGGCTGCAAGTGCCTGTATCTGCTGAGCCATCACTCAGCCTCAAGCAGCTTTAAAAATAAAGCAAACTTAGATGTCAGTTAAAAATGGATCTTGTCTCAAATAGCTCGAAGTATTGCTAGTTTCAAAACTTTTATTTACTCTTCTTTGGTTCTTCTTTTATATTCAAATAATAAAACACTTAAAATATTGCTGGAAGTTTAAAGGCATTTTAGTATTTTAGCTTTCAGTGTGCAAGTGTTTCTTCTTAATAGTATACCCCATGTATACCTGTGTTAGTCTCATTGTACAGGTGTCATGTATTTGTATTTATCCATTTAGTATGTAAAGAAATCTCTGGGCTGTGTGTGTGTGTGTGTGTATGGGGGTGCGTGTGCATGCTCTTGTGCACATGAATGTGGTAGTCAGTAGTCAAGCTCAGGAGCCATCTGCCTTGGCTTTTGTTGTTTTGCTTTAGCATTTATTTTACTTTGAATATGTGTGGGTATGTGCACAGAGGTGCACACCACCCCCTGGAGACCAGCAGAGGGTGTCTGACTCCTCTGCGATGAAGTTACAGGCAGTTGCAGTTGAGGATACAGGCAGCTCCAAGCTCCCACATCAGTCCTCTTCAGTGTGTGCTCTTAGCCACTGAGCCGTCTCTCCAGCCCCGCCTTGCTCAACTGTGTGGGGTAGGTGTGTGGGGTCAGCAAGCCTCAGAGATGTTCCTGTCCTCCTGCAGCAGTGGGATGATAAGTACACACCACTGTGCCTGGGTGTTCCTGTGGGTGCTGGGCCTGAAGCTCAGGTCCTTCTCTTTGCACAACAATCACTTTCCTATCTGACCTCTCCCCAGCCCTGGAAATTTGTCTTGAAAGTCATTTGGACTGCTGGCTTTTCTTCCTTAGTGCTCCACCCCACACAGTAAAAGAAATGGCGGAGTAGAGAGCTTTTGTAGAGTCAACGATAGCGGTTTCATTCTCACCTCTCTCAAGATTATGTGAGTGAGAATACACTTATGTTACAGACAAGGATTGAGTTTAAAAGCAAGAGCATTTGCTGAGCTGTGAGACAGGGTCATTAACGGTAACCAAGGAAGGTTGTGGATCAAGTTTCTGGACATCTCAGTCCCGGTAGACTAGGTGTGTAATAGGATTTCTTAACTTTGTGAGGAGTTAGTGCAAATGACAGTTACTGTGCAGGCTTGTGCAGTTACACACGTAGCCGAGGAAAACTGTGTAGTGTCTGTACTTCAGAAAACGAAAGGGACTTAGAGGAGGACGGCAGGTCTCCGGAGCCTGTGCTTTTGGTGCTTCTGGTGGGCCAGTTTGCCTTGCTGGTGTTGAATGCTCACGAGAACGTCAAATAATGGACATTTATTGCCAAGGTTGGAAAATGGCAGGTGTTAGGTTTGCTCTCACCTTGCTGCCTGTTGCTGAATACCTGTGCACTGCTGCGCTAACTAATTGCTACTCACATTTTAATCATGCCTTGACTCGGGTAGCTCCAGCGAATAAATCATAATAAATAGTAGCTCTTGTACCTGCTCAGTGAGTTTCTTGAGCAAGATCTCTGGTGTGTTGCCACATAGGGAATAGTTCCTCCGTGGAAGAGCCTCTTAACAAGGAGTGTAGTGGGCGTTTCCTGGCAATAGTGTGTGTGGGGAATGAGAATCCTCTGGTGATTGCGGCTTTATTATATAGGCATATGTTTAGTTTTCTGTGTAAAAAGTGCGTGAAAAGTTTCTCATCCTGTGGTGGGGAGAATGGTGTGTGCCTGCTCTGACGGAAGACCCCATGTGTAGCAGGACCAACCAGCTGCTTGAGACCTGTAGCTGTCCCAATTGAAATCCTCACTGTGACACGACATTTCGAAGGTCAGCAGGCTTTTGGAGAGGCCAGGAACACTATTCAGAATGAAATCTCATACTATGTAAAGAAATCAGCTGGGAAATTGAGAGAGCTTTTGCCAGGTTTTCTTTGAAAGTGTTAAGTCTTGGTTCTGAGAGTGGGAGGACCAGCGCATGTGAGGGGCACATGGATGAGCAGCAGGTGCTGTTCGAGTTCAGGACAGCCTGGACTCCAGCCTCAAAACCAGTTCTCTGGAGAAGCTCAGCTGTGATTCTGTGATTCGAGAGGTCAAGCGAATACAGCCTTCCTTAAAAAGAGGACGCTTGAAACGCATGAAAATACCCAGACTATAGCGTCCGTGAGAAGACTGCTTTACCTAGAACATCCCAGAGCAATTGCCAGTGCTTGTGTGAACCCTTTGATAAGTGTGGGGCTGTGATGATCCTAGCATTTCTTTCCTTTGTGGGATACACCCACGGAAACCCGCACAGCTAAGCCAAACTGGAACCCTGTCTGGTTCCTCTCTGATTCCCCAGCCCCAAGGCCTGCCCAGATGCTGTGCCGCCCTTGCTTGTGGGGTAGAAGACAGGAAAAGGGTGCAATGAGTGGGACTTACAGGCGTGGGTAGAGGTCATCACTGGGAGAAGGTAGTCAAGTGGCATTGTGAATGATAACCCCAAAAAGATCTTTTAAATCAGCTTTTAACATATGTTCCCCAAAGGGGTTGATAATGGGGCTGAAAGAAAAAAAAAATCCTCACAGAAAAGAAATCACATTTTGTATTTAGTAGAAAACAAAACTTCTCATGTAATGGTGGAGTGAGACAATGAGATTACTGACTGCAGGTAGCTGTTGCTGTTAGAGCCTCCAGTTAGGTATTCCCAGGCTCCACGAGAACTGTTTATTTATGCATCTGACCTTTACCCTGCAAAGATTTCTCACGGTAAAGGTATCACATTAGCCTTGGGCAAGTACATTAACTTGCTCACAACTACAGATCAGCTCTCGGGGCTTCAGAGTGCTTTCTCTTTCTGCAAAACTGCGCTAGTTATCTCAGACTAGGCAGTGGACAAGCAAGGGCTGCAGTGTAGACTGCAGTATGACTTAAAAAAGCATTTCAGGAAAAGAAGATACTGGTATGGAAAGGGTAGCTGTGAGCAGGAGTGACTGATTAATATATATGCATACATATTTTGTGAATGATTACTGTCAAGATGTCTATTCTCTTAACTAACTTTACACAGTTTTAGGAGCTGAAGGAGCAGAGTTAACCTTCATGTTATGGGAAGGCTGTTTTTGCTGTGAATATAAATAGTCCCAATAAGCCTGCCACAGAGGGCCTCCGAAAGACTCTACCCTGGAGGGTATCAAAGCAGACTTTGATACTGAGACTTAAGGCCAACCTTTGGGCAGAGTGCAGGGAGTCTTATGAAAGAAGTAGGAAATAGTAAGACCTGGAGAGGACAGGAGGCTCCACAAGGAGAGCAACAGAACCAAAAAATCTGGGCACAAGGGTTTTTTCTGAGACTGATGCTCCAACCAAGGACCATTTATGGACATACTCTAGAACCCCTGCACAGATGTAGCCCATGGCAGTTCAGTGTCCAAGTGGGTTCCATAGTAATGGGAACAGAGACTGTCTCTGACATGAACTGATTGGCCTGCTCTTTGATCACCACCCCCAGGGGGGTGCAGTCTTACCAGGCCACAGAGGAAGACAATGCAGCCACTCCTGATGAGATCTGATAGGCTAGGATCAGAAGGAAGGGAATGAGGAGCTCCCTTATCTGTGGACTTGGGGAAGGGCATGCGTGGAGAAGGGGGAGGGTGGGATTGGGAGGGGAGGAGGGAGGGAGCTACAGGTGGGATACAAAGTGAATAAAGTGTAATTAATAAAAATTAAAAATTTAAAAAAGCAAAAAAAAAAATAGTCCCAACTATGTATATCCGTGTGCAGTGGAATACTAAGATTTAAGGACTTGAGGGGGCTAAACTGTTAACTAGTGTTTTCCACCCTTCTCTCTCCCTGTCCCTCTAGATACTTCTTGTGCCTTCAGCTGCGGCAGGACATCGCCTCTGGCCGCCTGCCCTGCTCCTTTGTGACTCATGCCCTCTTGGGATCCTACACACTTCAGGCTGAGCACGGAGACTATGACCCAGAAGAGTATGACAGCATTGATCTTGGTGACTTCCGGTTTGCCCCAAGCCAAACCAAGGAGCTGGAAGAAAAGGTGGCAGAACTGCATAAAACTCACAGGTCTGTCGATTGGTAGCCTGACAGGCAGCTGCCGTCAAGGTAGACAGTCTGGAATGCTTGCTTGGCATTTGGGAGCAAAGTTTTGGCTTATCTGCTTGCTCCTTCTGGAGCTTGTCCAGTGCTGATGGAGACAACCTCCTGCTCCTGAGATACCCATTTACTGTTCTTTGTAGTGTAATATGGGGATTGTGTTCTTGATTAACTCCTTTACAGAATAACATGTATATTCCCATGAGACACTTCCTTCTCCCTTCCCTTCCTATCCTTAACATGCTCGGGAAGCAGATGTTTGTGGCACTTACTTTACATGTCTCTGCCTCTCAGTATGAAAGCCAGGGAGGTACTGGGGCTAGATGATATCAAAACACTATATACATGTTTTAATTTTCAAGGACTGAAAATACAACTTTTAAAAAGCTAGGGGAGGTATTGAAGCATCTGGATTTGAATTAGAAGTTCAGGTAGTGATAGATAGGCGATAGCTGAAATGGGCAGATGGCTCCACCAGCCACAGAAATGTCCCTTTGGCTTAGGTGAGGGTTACTGAAGTTACTTAATGGCATGTAGACCTGGAATACTTTAATGTTTCAGTCAACACGAAGTGTTACATGAGTTTTAATATCTCTAAGCTGTAAGTATTTATACTTTAAAGCCATAATTTTATGAAATATTGACTAAAATTATTTGAATAACTTTCAGATTTAAAATGCTTAAGATTTAAATACATTGGCTTTTGCTTAAAAAATTAAAGAGCAATATTTGTCTTTTTCTCCCCTCTGTATTTAAATTTTATTCAACAGACATTTGTTCTGTCACTGAAATTTGAATTACTAGGTATAAAATGTTGTGGAAGTGAAGACTATTGGGTCAGAGACCTGTTTGCTGGTTGCTTAAATTTGGCTAGCTGGAGAAAGTGATTGGAATAGAAATCTGTTTCTGTAGACAGAATACTATGCTGTTTGTCATACCTAGAAAATAAAGTAAGTAATTCTGATGAATCATAGGAAAATTAAATGAAGGAATAGTTTTTAAAGTACAGTTAGTAGTTGATCCCGTTCCCTTCTCGGTTAGCCTATGTTCTCCCGTTATTGCCCAGGCTTTCCTCCCCAGTGAGCATAATGAAAAGCATCACGTTAGGGACATGAATGTTAAGTTAGAAGTCTGCAGTCCTGAAATGAGCAGGCCCAGACTGCCTGACCTTAGCAGGAAGCTGAAGTGATGGAGCTGCATCGCGTTTCTTACTCTCTTTTCTGCAGACATATGAGTAACTCCCTTGGTCCCAGCTCTCCCTGTCTACACACTTCATCTATTTTGAGCACATTGCATTTCCTAGTAACACAGTTTCTTTTGATTCTCAGGGGCTTATCTCCAGCACAAGCTGATTCTCAGTTCTTAGAAAATGCAAAGAGGCTTTCCATGTATGGGGTTGACCTGCACCATGCCAAGGTATTGTAAATTCAATGGGAATGATGTTATTGTAGTTTAGTGACTAAAGTTCTGAGAACTGAGTTTTACAAAGCCTGGTTCATTTTGGAAAAGACTGTTTGGCTCTGCTTTTGGTCTTTAATATTTCTTGGTGACTACTGATAAAATTCATGGGTGTGGAAATCACTTGTCCTCTCCCTACTTCTTTCTTCTTTTGTCAGAGTTTTAATTAATGCCTCCTGAGAGGTCTTACCACAGAACTGTCTTTAGTAGCCTTTACTCTTTACCCTCTGGTCCTAGTTCATGCTTTGTCCCAGCTGCTCTAGACCATTGGTTTGCAACCTGTGGCTCATGACCCCTTATGTGTGTGGGTGGGTGTGTGGGTGGGTGGTGGGGGCTTGAAGAACACTTTCATAGGGTTCATGTAAGACCATTGTAAAACATAGACATTTACATTATAAGATATAACAGTAGCAAAGTTAAGGTATGAAGGGCAGCGAAAGTAATTTTATGGTTGGGGCTCACCACAACATGAGGAATAACAGGTCACAGTGTTAGGAAGATTGAGAACCTCTGTGTTAGACCTGTGCTGAAGTCTTGACTCCCTGTCTTTTCCTCACTTCTTTTTTGGGAGAAGAAAGCAGATCTTTAAGCGTGAAAAGGTAAAAAGCATCACAAATATGCCCTGGCTCCAGGTCATGAAGCTCTGCAGACTAATTCCAGATAGTACATGGTTGGGATGGTGGGGGCTTCAGAAGTAGCTCATGGGTGGGATGATGGAGGCTTGTGATGGGAAGGCGGGGTTGATTGGGAGGCTGCCATTAGCAAGTGTCCTTGCTTCATGATCCTCCATGGAGTGGTGACACAGTAGGAGGACGAAAGGATAGACGGGTGTGGCTTGTGCAGAGTCAGTATCCGAGAGATTCTGCCTGCCCTGCCAGTCACACACAGTTTAGGAGGTAGTTATGGGTGCCACCAGGAAGCTCTCACCCATAAATACCCTCCCTTTCTTGGCCTCGGATTAGAAGCTCTTGTTTTGTATTATTATGCCTAATATTTACAAAGGACTCTTTTTTTTTTTTTTTTGGTGGCATTATTTATGTAACAGTATTTTTCTTTTATTATAAAATGATGTACATTTAACATAGAAAATAGAGGCAAACAGAAGAAAATAAAAATCACTTGGATCTCTGTATAGAAAGAAAGTTACTGTTTTGAAGCATTTTCTTGCTTGGTTTCTTTTGTTTGTTTGGTTTTGGGTTTTTTTTTTTTTTGGCCTCTGAGGACTCTAATTCTTGGGTGTCTTTAAATGAGGTCTACCTGGGCATCTTTGAATGAGATCTACTCTGAGTTTCAGTTTTTTAGTTTTGGTCTTTGTTTTATTTTGAATCAGGATCTCATGCTGTAGCTCTGGTAGGCCTGAAATTTGCTGTGTAAAATAGGCTGGCTTTGAACTCAGAGAGATCTACCTGCCTCTGCTTCCCAAGTTGCTGGAATGAAAGCTGTGTGCCACCACATTAAAAATGCTTTCACATGTACCATGGTTTTGAAATTTGAATGTATTTTATAAATACATGAAGTAGTAAAGAGGGTGACTTGTCTAATGTCATCTATTGCTGGTGGTTCTCTCTGCCTGATACTGTGATAAATATTACTAGATGGTAAATATGATCTAATGCTAGGTGTTTTTTTGTTTTTTTAAGTTTCTTTTCATTTATTGAAGAAACAAAAAAATAAGAGAGGACAGGTCTGGAACTAAAACTCTCCCATCTTTATACTTCCTATTAATTTTGATGTGTGTGTGAATCCTTTTGAGAGGGTGGGAGGCTAAGTATTGAACCTGGGGCCCCTAAACACATTCCTCCCTCTCTTTGATCTTGGACAAAAGCTCTTGAATGTCTCAAACATCCCAGAAGACTGTCCACACAGGGTAGCTTCTGCAAGGACAGAGCAAGTGGTAATTTCTGTAGTCATAGTTATTTTTTTATTGTTGCTGAGTGCATATTTCAGACATGGGAAATTAAGAAATATTTTTCTTCCTTTCACTTCATACCCCTTATCAACAATTCTGTTTTCACAAATACTGATAAATTTAAAACAGTTATGTGGGCCAGCAATGATTTGCTTGAATACTCGTGGAGTTTCTTTTTCGGTAAAATAAAAATACTTATTTGTCCTGTCTAAAGATGGCTTCAGACTAGATGGAACTGGATTTGTCCATATGTCCAGCTAATGTCACCTCCTCAGCCATGGTGAGAACATGCTGTTTCTGCCATTGCTCACCCTCTCCCTTTGGCCATAGCTATTGATGCTTTTGGCATACACACACTGAGTTTGGTGCCAGGTAGTTTGGGCACCTGTGCCTAATTGACCCAGCTTTATCTGCTATTCCTAGAGAGAGTTGGATAACGGGATACCTGGCAGGCGCCAGGATACCAGTGAGTGAAGATTGGCTATTTTAAGTCTGGGATTTTATTAATGTCTTGTATTTGATAGACGCACACGTGCTGTGGTGCACAGTGCATGGCGTGTGCGGAGGGCAGAGACAGCTCCGTGGAGCTGGTGTTCTCCGTCTACCCTTATAGTGGCTCTGAGGCTTGAACTCAGATCCTCAGGCTTTTGCAGCAAGCACTTGTTGGCCGAGTCATCTTGGCAGCCCAGTATTTAAAGCTTCCTCAGTGTGGTGTAATGTAATTCTGTGTCTTTGTATTTGAATTATTCTGGCATCACAGTAGAGAATGAGATTAGTATTAATTGGCTAAACTGTGCCTTTATTTTGAAAAAAAAAAAAAAAATATATATATATATATATATATATATATTGGGTTTTATCATTTTAGTAATGGTGCTGTCAAAACATGCTGTTATTGAATTGGGACTTAGACAATGTGCTGTTTGTCTTTGCATGTGTGAAACTTTATCCTGTGTTGTTCATGATTTCTTTACATGTGTGTGTCTCTGAGTAATAGTGTTGAGTTTATCTTTCCTGGCTGAGATCGCTTGTCACCTGGAGGACAGCTACTGTGTGATTTGCATATTGCGCCTCTCTCATCTTCAGTGCTGTGTGAAATTTGAGGGGAAGTTGTTCCTTTTGAAATGTACTTCAAGCTGTCAGTGTTCTGCTTTTGTTTGTACATTTATGTGGGTAAATAAACCCTTTTCAGGCTTGTGATTATTCTATGTTATCATCTATTCCAAATTTAGTCTTCAGGAAAAGGAAACTATTAATAACTTCAGAAACAGTTTCCAGTCTTTGCTGTTTGCCAGCCGAAGGGGTACACAATGAGAGCTGCGTGTCAGCACTAAGTCACTGAAAATGCTTGAAAGATTTCAGAGGCTTCGACACTGTCAGCCCAGAAGAGACATATCCTGTGGATTAGTGTTTGCAAAATATAATTTTAACACTGTCAGCTCCCATAATCCATCTTAGTTTGGTAAAGTGAGATAGCAGAATGTCCCATACAGTAGGTCAGCAGACTATCCATTAGGTCTGGGATCACTCCAGGGAAGTGCTCTGTGTTCAGCGTTTTCCAGATGCCAGAGTCTGGCCCTTTTTTCCCCTTCTTCCCTGTTAACTTTTAAAAATGCATGAATTGAATCTTTTGCAGACTACTGTGTCCTGTAAATGATAGTTCATATCATTTTGCAAATTCCACCCAGTTCCTGAAGATGAGTAATTTAATATGAACATTTGCTCTACTCCTACAATTAACCTAGGTGCTCTCACTAAAATTTAAATGCACATGTGTGAAGTTGACATTTTCAGTCACTTGAGGTTTGCTTTGCCTCCGTCTGTGTAACACTCGTTGTTCTGACTGTCCAATGGGTTGCACTTGGCAGGACTCAGAAGGTGTGGACATCAAGCTGGGTGTGTGTGCTAACGGCCTTCTCATTTACAAAGACAGACTGAGGATCAATCGCTTCGCTTGGCCAAAGATCCTGAAAATTTCCTACAAGCGCAGTCATTTCTACATTAAAGTCAGGCCAGCAGAGGTAAGCAGCGCCGTGTACCCGTGGCATCACTAATGCACTGTCAGCGCTCCCGCTACAAGTAGCGGAGGTAAATGAGTTCTTGCCACTAAAATACGGCAGAAAGAAGCTCTTCTCTGGTGTTTTCCGGCCCCGAAGCCAGCGTTCTTGATGATATATGAACATTCTTGTTGCTGATATACACAACCACTAGGTCTTTCACAAAAGGGGATCTTTTTATGCTCCCCCACACAGTGGGGGCTCCTTTGTTTCTGTTTACTCAGTTAAGTAATGGAATGTGTTTGAGAGGCACTGAATAATCAGTTCACTAGGTCCATGGGCAATTAGTACTTGCTTTTTATAGAAATAGTATCACAATGTGATTTTTTTTATTTTAGATAACTATATTGATAAACTAGTACTTATTAAGAAAAATTCTGACAGACATGACTGTAACTGTTTACCACGTAGCCAGTGCTTGAAAAATAGGCTGATTTTGTTTTATGGATTTATTCCAGCTGGAACAGTTTGAGAGCACCATTGGATTCAAATTGCCAAACCACCGGGCAGCTAAAAGGCTATGGAAAGTATGTGTGGAGCACCACACTTTCTACAGGTAACTTGCAAGTCTTGTGTGGTTGCCATTGGTGCCCTGTCAGGTTAGGCCAATGGATAGCATGGCTGATGTATCTATGCCTTGCCCCAGGGCTTCTTGCTCTCCTGGGGCCATTTCTGTTGCTTGAGGCCATGCTTTGCACTGCCTTCTGATCACCTTGTCACTGTCTGTCCTTCCACCACTGCCATACCAGTCCACCTGCTGCCATCCTTCCTGTCATCAGTCTTCTTAGCTACAATTCAGCTCTTCTGGACTTAACCTCTTACTCAGCTTGAGCCCTGTTCCATTTCTTTGTTTTGTCAAGAATATTCATGTGCTCAAACCCTCATCCTCCCAGCACAGCAGCTTCCCCACTGTGTTGCTATCAGGTCAGTCTGATGTCCTGAGTGGCACATCTGTGCTGCCAAGTGCCAACTGAGGAAGCACTCCTGTGGTGACTGACGCAATGACACAGCCTTGTGCTTTGGTGCTATTTCAGAATTTCTAGCATTCGTGGGACCCACCCGCTCCCAGCCAGTTCTTTTGCCCCCTTGGAGTCAGGAACGTTCATGGTCATCTAGAGCTTTCATCCCTGTCGGCCCTTGGGATGGCTCTAGGTGCCTTCCCTGGAGAAGTGTGGATCATGAGTCCTTCCTAATTCACTATCACTTATCTTACCACCTTCATTGCTTAACCTCCTGTTTCAAGGAGTGGATAAACATTGCTTTGCTTTGATTGTTTATTTCATCTCTTCCCAAAGGATCCTACTTGGTAATTTACTTTCTAGTGGATGTTTCTGACATTTTTTGGCCAATTACATACTCATGTCTTCCTTAAAAACCAAAGCTCCAAACGAACAAAGCCCCAGAGAGCCCCTAAGCTTCTAATCTAAACAGGAAGTCAATGCAGGGCAGGTCTCTGTGAGTCCAAGGCTAGCCTTGTCTATGTAGTGAGTTTAAGGCTAGCCTTGTGTGCATAGTCAGTTCATGGCAATCCAGAGCTACATAGAGAAACAAACAACAGAGCAACAATAACAATAGCAAATCCTTGAAATCTCCTCTAATCCCAAGCTATAGCCTGTGTTCTGTGTCCTTTTTAAATCTTTTATTTAGGGGTGTCTTGTCACAAGTAGTTTGACTACCTTCATCTCAGTTTTTAGTGATTGTGGTTTATAAAGTGTTGCTGTAAAGTGTTGCTTATTATTTGCCCTATAATTATTGCAGTGGTGTTATCTAACTCCCTATAACAAATAATAAGACACAGACACCTGTTATATTTTAAAATTGCCTTATTTACTTTGAGCTGGGCAGATGTTTCTACCTACTCTGTCTCAATAACCTCATCCATCCATCTCCCTGCCCTCATCCAATGCCATCCTCCTTAACCACCCCATCTTAGCTACCTTCCATCTGTAACCCTAAAATACTTGCTTATATTTTTCATCTTGGTCGAGAAAAGACCATCCACACCATCCTTGGAGTCCTTCCTCCTGGCCCACTTGGTTTCTTTTCCAAGCTAACCTATCGTGGCATCCTCTTGCCTCCTGTCTTCCTATCCAACTGTTTGCTGAGATTCTCTTGTCCTTTAAGGCCTGGGAACCTTAACCACTTTTACCCCATTCTGGCTTGCCCAGGTTTAGCCCTTTAATCATCCAATCAGGTATAATGTCTTAGTCAGATTTACACAACAAGGATAGGTGTATCCAGGCAGGAACCAGATCTTGAGGGCCAGTAATTAGCATCAAAATAAAACATTAGAACTACCCCCAATATAAAGCCAGATAGGGTGAAGAGTTTTCTTTAGACCTTAGGATTAGATGCTGTTCTGCCACGTGCTAGCCGTGTAGTGGTGATGTTATTCAGCCTCTGCTTTACCTTGGTTATCTCTGTGTGATGCTAACAAAGGTTCCTTTTTTTTCTTATGGGATTGTTTTCAAAATTAAATGAGATTTTACACATGAAGCAAACATAAGCTGTTTGTGGTTTATAATGTTTATTGTCATCATTACCACTACCACATTAAGAGACAACAAATCGTTGCTATTACAGATGACTGGTTCTTATGGTGAAATGGAACAGATCCGTTTTTAAGACTACTCTAATACACTAATTTCAATGGAATCTGTCTGAATCAGCTGAACTAATCATAGGAGCCCTTGAAAAGTTTATGATGTTTCTTGGTAGCTAAGGCAAATGCTTCCTGAAGGAGCATGGGACTTCCTCCTGTGTAGCTAGATAACAGTGTTAGTGCAGTAGGTTAGACTGGATCCAGAGAAGGCCTGTGAGGGTCAGCAGCGAGGGTCCTGTTGGAAATGACAGCTCTTGGAGTTCCTTTAATGCTCTTGTTAGACATAGGTGATCGCTGCCTGTTGCAGGAAGTGGGTAAACGGGGTGGGCTCCTCTAAGAATGGCAGCCAGACCATGAGCAGAGGGAAGACCCAGCAGCCTCACCTTCTGCCCTGCCAGCTTCTCTCTTATGTGCCGCCCAGGACCTTTTGTGAAGTACTGTTCGCAAAGCATTTTGAGGTCATGTTTCGCTGTATTGCTAGCTAGGGAAACTCTACCATGTTCAGCCCGTCAAAGATACAGCTGGGATACAAAGTGAATAAAATGTAATTAATGTAAAAATATAAAAATTTAACAAAAAAGATACAGTTCATTAGGCTGCATTTTTTTCAGCGTCACTGCCTGTGTGTAACCCTTCAGAAAACTTCCAGGAGGAATGATTTACAGTTACACTTTACCACATGAATAGATTTGGGCCAATAAAGCCTGATGTATATTGGTTCTTTTATCACTTATGTAAGAGGGTGTTTTTCTGGATGTATACTGTGTTGAGTTAATGGAGGGTGACCTCTCTTAGTAGTCATACCTTACCGTGCCTTGACCTAGAACCCATCGTTCACTAAGCAGAATGTTTCTAAAACATCACGCAGAAGATCTAGAATTATGCTGGTAAGAAAGAGTATCAGTCATCTCTGTGGATCACGTGTAGTTCTGTTCTTTAAGAAGGAATCACTTAGCAGGACAGATTTTTGAGTTAGGTGGTTTTCCTCACCAGAAAGAGGATAAATCACAATTGCTAATGATAATGGGCCTTTTACTTGGCACTTAAAACGAGCAGCACAAAATCAGACATGTGTTTGCATAAATGGTTTACACTATCTCAGATACTCTTGATACATGCTCAGAACAGCTGCTCTTTTGGTTGGGCTGAAAAAAAATTCGTGAACACATCGCAATTATAAAACTGCATATGACCTAATGTGGTATTATTACATGTTAATCCCAGCACAGAGTGGATGAGTTGGGGGCCACCCTGGTTTGCCCAGGGAGTTTGATGTCAGCCTCAAAAAAATCAAAACAATAAAACCATATATGCAGGAAGGATGTTTTTATTAAAGTTTATGTAACACTTTTTGTCTAATGATATTTAAATGAGATCTTAAAATACATAGCTGTGTTTATTGTTTTTTGTTTTTTTTTTAATGCACCTGAAGTCTTTGTCTTTTTCCTTGTAGGCTCGTGTCTCCAGAACAGCCACCAAAGGCCAAGTTCTTGACCTTGGGCTCTAAGTTCCGCTACAGTGGACGCACGCAGGCGCAGACACGCCAGGCAAGCACCCTCATCGACAGGCCAGCACCACACTTTGAGCGCGCCTCCAGCAAGCGAATCTCAAGGAGCCTCGATGGAGGTGACACAGTTAGAATTTTGGATTCTCCTTATCTTCTCTAGTCCAGTGGGGTCAGAAAGTGGTGACCTAGTTAACAAAGCCACCAGACACCCTCTAGGGCAGTGTTTCTCAATCTTCCTAATGCTGTGACCCTTTAATACAGTTCCTCATGTAGTGGTGACCCCCAGGCATGAACTTAGTGTGTCGCTACTTTATGGCTGTAATTTTGCTTCTGTTATGAATCATAATGTAAATATCTGATATACAGGATATTTGATATGAGACTGCCATAGGGGTTGCAACCAACATGTTGAGAACTATTGGTCTTGAGGGATAGACATTTACCCCCAAGTCAGTAAAATGTTGATATTCTCTGAGTAAAATAATTTTGTGTTCGGGTTATCACTCTGAACTTTCTTTGTGCTAACAACATTCATGAATAATATGTATTGTTTTGTTTTTTTGTTTTTTAGCTGTTGGATGAATGTGTTTCTCTTGGTTTTATTTGATTAGGCTGTCTAATATGGCTTAATTTCTTATACTCATTGTTGCTAACATAATTTAAGGAATTTGGAGCTATGTTTGCATATGAATTTTAAATCAAATAATTAGGAAACAATTCTACCATCTCAAAATTGAAGCTTTCAGAAGCTTAACAGGCTTGCAGTGTTCAAGAGATCATGCTAGGCTCCAAAGTTTTAATTCTAAATATGGTTTAATCAATAATAACAAAAGATTACATACTCATTTGTATGTATGGGGAGGTAGTATAAATATTAATTTTTCTATTAGAGTTATGATGAGGCACATATTTGTAGTTTTATGTAAAGTATCTATGGAAGTGAGGTGATGTTCCTTTTTCATATATTTGTTATTAGTAAATTAGGAATTAATAGTATGTTTCTTATAAGAGATAATGTTTTTAAAATGCTGTTCTTTTTATATAACAAAAATGATTGTTGCAATTAATTTTTCAGTGAAAAGAAATAGTTCTTGAACATTTTTGGTTACATTTAATACTAATATTAAATAGTTTGAAAAAGTATAATTTTATATTTCACTATTAGCAAAAATCCCATTTTGACTGTTGTTCCTTTGTAAAGCTTTGAAATGTGAACTTGAACGAGATGTTAAATAACTAGATAAAACAGATGATTCTTACGCTAACATTCCTCCATTAGTAGAGGACTGACACAGGCTGACCTTGCTCTATTTTTCCTAGTTTAGAAATTACCAAGTAGGCACACACAGCTATCCCCAGGCTTCAGTGGTGGGCATTTTGAGGTGCATGGTTGTTATTTCTAGAGAGTCTTCCGTGCAGTTGTAAGGATTCACCAGAAAAACATGTGCTTCAAACAAATGAATGTCCATATTTCCAGATATGACTGTTTAAATTTAGTGACTTAGTGCAAGTCAACAAATGAACACTTTGCTGAGTGATCTGAAAAGTGTGCCAGTCCTCATAGTGTCGCTCAGACTGCTCTTCACAGTGTCTGACAGACGCAGTTCAGTTGTTTCTGCCCCAGGAGGAGTCACCGCCTTGTGGGCACTGCCTCCGCGCTCTTGTGAGACATGAGGCTGTGGAGTTCTCATGTGTGAGTATTGGAGCTAGTGAAGACCACTCAGCCAGGGCGCCTTCCTGTGGTCTCTGTGCTTCTTTGGGAAACGCAGCATTTTGATTGATTGGTTATCGCAAAGGGTGTTCCGAATCTGTATCTGAGAACAATTTTCACATGGAAAAGCAACAAACATGGCACCAATCCTTTATTTCCCTTTTGTGTTTTGGACTCTGTAAGCCATGAGATGGTCAGGTCACCGAAAGGATGATTGTGTTATTGTGAAAACTGGGAGGCTTTTCATATGTATGACCGTTAACCAGCGAACTGTTTGGTTCTTTTTCCCCAACAATGTAGAACCGCTCTGTTACCTAGTAATGAGCTTATTTCCTTCACTGTTTTAATCAGCATTCCTTTAGTGTCACTGACAGGTGTTGTGTTTCCTCATTTTTCTGTTTGCTTTTAAAAGGTAGGTTTGAACAGTTTAGCTAGGTAAGTAATCTTCCCTTTAAAGTTTAGAAAAATACTTAAGTGATTGCATAAAAGGCAGAGTTTAATGTGACTTAAAAGTCACCCAGAACAGCTGTGGTAAAACAGCCAGTCTCCTCTGAGATTAGGAAACAGAACCAAAGGAGCCAGAGCAGTCACTTTGAAGAACTGGAAGTCTGCATTGGGGGAGGCAGTGGTTTTTCTGAAAGTGAACAGTGAAGAGTAGGCGGAGATGCTGTGGTGCTTAAGTAGGATCCTCAGGAAAGAATGTAGCCTCCTCAGTCCTAGAAGGATGAGAGGGAGGGAGAAGGGACTGCATGGGCCATCCCAGGCAGTGGAAGCTGCAGAGCAGCTCTGACATGGGTGCACACAGAGGAAAGACAGCATACTTAGGCGTAGTCAAGGCGGCTGCCAGGCTTTGCTTGGGTCCCTTCTGGAGGAATCCATTGAGGGCTTGGTGTGTCTGTGTGAGCGTACAGAGCTGTGTTAGCTCCAGAGAGTCATGAGAGAGGATGGAGGCAGGGAACAGGCAGAGTGGCCACAGGGACCCACTTGACAGTGGTGGCTGTGGTCTTCACCTTAGGTGGGAGCAGACCAGTTGGTTACTGTACATTAGGCTGGCGGAGTGTTTAAAAGTGTGCAGTCGACATTTTGTCAACTTGGTTTTGTAATTTTTAATTTTATATCAACTTATAGTTCAGTGTCAGTATAGTTAAAATTACCTTTAGGTCAGATTTTCTCATTTTGTAATAACTTGTGATTGCAATGGGTGCTTTAAATGATATAATAAGTCAAAAGGGTACACATAATTATAAGCCTCTAGACAGGAAAATTAGGAAAATCTTAGTAACAACAAAAGCCAGCGTCAGGAAATAAGTATAGTGCAAGATGTGAGCTCATTTTAATGTTGTAAGGATTTGTGTAGATTTTAAAAAGTAAGTTTTTGTAGATTGGAAAAGTTTTAAAGGCTGAAGTGGTATGGAAATAGAGGTTTAGAAAACAAACAACAAAACCTCACTATGTGCAGAAGTACATCCAAGGGCGGTTTGACTTGCTAGTGTTAAGGAGTGATGCTCTGATTTGAGTTTCCTGGCTGAAGCAAATGGGTTCAAGGAGTAGAACTTCGTTTGATGAAACAAACCTGGCTAGGGAAGAAGCACACTGGGACAGGGCAGGTGACGGTTGAGGATGGTTGGGAGCCTCTAGGACAAAGATGGGCTGTACCGGATACCTCCAGTTAACTGGAAGACTCACCATCCTCCCAGCGTTCCCGGCTCTCCGGTTTTCTGTTTGCTGGAGTTTTTCTTGGTGTGTGCTACAAAAGCAAACCACAGGTGTCTGTGGAGCACTTTTCAAAGAAGACCTCAGGGGTGTTCGTCGTTCTGGAGGAGCCTCTGCTGCAGACTTGTCACTTGACTTGCCAACTCTTGAGTTGATACAACACCGTGACAGAACCTTAGCACAGTAGGTTTCTACCTCTGAGAGAGAGAAAGGCAGCGCACAAGGCCAGCTTCAGGGCACCAGCTGAGGTACCAGCCACTGGTCAGGTCGAGAAGTTCAGAAGTGTCAGAAAAACAAGAAATATTAGATGGGTAAATTCTTAAATCTGCTGTCTTTTAGTATGAAAATAAGTTACTTTTCAGGGGTATTTTTTAAAACCCCTTGAAACAAATCATGTTAATAATAATTATTTTTTAAAAGTAGATTTAGGACTGGTTTTCCGCCGCAGAATTACAATGCAATTCTGGGGGGCGTTTGCAGTTGGGCAGAGAGCTCCTCCTAGTGGCCAATTCCCCGGTGAGCCACATGCTCAGAAATCTAATTTGCCGATGGACTAATTTTTAAAACTCTCAGAATATTAGTAGAGTTTTGTATTGGTTTAAAAACAAGTTTGTATCACATGTTGATGTATTCAAAGTTCAGCCTGTGTTCTAGCTACTGACATGTGGCCTCTTTGTTTAAGGTGTTATATTCTTCAAAGCGCTACCATTCACAGCTCTAATGTATTTCAACTTATCTTCTGATTAGCCCCACTTGGTGTTGTGGACCAAAGTCTTATGAAGGACTCTCCTGGCCCTCCCGGAGAGGGCTCAGTGCCTGGCCCTGGAGTTGTCAGCTACACCGCCAGACAGGACGGCGATAGCCGGAGGGATGTCAGAAGCCCAGCGAAAGCTGCACCCCTGCTTGCTGAGGGAAAGGTATGGCACCTTAGCACCGCCCTGAAGGTGTGCTTAGATCTGCATTTGTATTTCATAAGTTTATTATGATTGTGTAACCTGTGTTGGTGTAATTTCCCATGGCTCAAATAGGTGTAGGCTGCTGCTGATTTGAGCTGTGATTTTAACCTTGTTTTGATTTTTTTTTTTTAGAGTAAAATATTTATTTCAGTGTAAATTACTCTAATGTAAGAACAGTGTAAATTATACAAATGTAAGAGCAATGCACCGGCATTCTCTGTTTTCTTAATTATCAGTTGACTCACCGATGATAAAAGCCATGCGATTTGAAATTTGTGTATTTTACTAGTCAAGTTAAAGGTAGTTTTTGCCTGAAATTTTATTACGTTGACTTAATTTTTTATGTGAATCAAGATATTTGATAATGGTGAGTGCAGGACTGGTGTGCTGTCAGTCTTTATTTTGTGCACACACTGCAGTGAATGAAGAAGCCGCCAGGGCTGAGATGTTCTTGAGTCTGTCAGGACTGAGATGTTCTCAAGTCTTGTCAGTTCTGTTACTTTGTTACTGAAGTCAGTTCAGTTGATAAAGTCACCTGATTAAAGGGCTTCTGAGCCCCTCACACATCATTTCCATAACCACATAAAGCAATTTTTATATGCAGCATTGGAAGTTAGTACCATGCGTATTCGTGTACACACACACGCGCATGCACACACACAAACATGCACACACATACCTATGCAGCCTGCATGGTTCTGCTGGCTTACCGAGTTTTCTAAATTCTGACCTTGGAAAGATGCCCAGGATGAAGCGAGAAAGAACCTGTGGCTGAAGGATCTGCAGGACTGTGGAGTTCTGACACTGACACCCGCTACAGACACACAGCCACAGGGCAGGGCGTCCGCGATACGGAATCATTGGCATCCTGTTGTTAAACAGTTTGTCTTTGTCATGTTGAAAAATTATTTAGCTAAGCAGCATTTAGTTAAAAATAACACAGTTTATATTCTACATGATATCCTTCAAGTGCGAAGTTTTCAGAATCTTTTAAATTATGCTTACAGGAGTATCCAAGAAAATGGCTACCGAAGACAAAGCTTAGTATTTCCGAAAGTCCTTTTCTGCTTTTATTAATGAATTTGACATTCATAATAATGAAAAATGTTTCTGGACAACAAAAGTTCTTGTATTAAATTCTAAAGGAAATCTTTTTGTCTTTAGCAAATGATTATTTACATGAGATTTTTTTTCTGTTCTTAATATATGTATCTGCAACTAGGTTTGAGTACCATTTGTTAAAATCTCAGTCATTACTATGTGTAAATTTTATGTGATAAAAGGAGTCCAGTTCTCCTTAAAAATGGATCATTCAATTAATTTTTAATCACTTTTCATGAAACCTTCTCGGGAGTAAAGTTTTCACTAACAATCTTCTTTTCTCCTATTTTCTCCTTGTTCCTGTGAACATAACCATTGCGTGACTCATACTCAACCATGGGTTATTCTTGAAATAGACTGTGTGCATGTGCCCTCCATCCCCTTTCATTTGCTGTACTTCATCTTTTCCCCCACACCTCCTGCCAGTTCCTGAAGTAGACTTGCTATCAGACATCTCAGAGGAAGACCCTTTGGGCGAGGCTGATCAGACCACACTAGACAGCTTCGAGGTGCTCTCCATGGGTGGAACATCAGAGCAGGGTGACTCTGAGGTGGTCGTGTTGGATTCTGTCTTGGATCCTGGTATAGCCCCTCCTCAACCTGACTGTTTTTCCACCTGTGAGAAGACCCTCCACTCCACTGACCTTAAGGATTCTGACCTGGGTTACTTTCCCTCCACCTTGTACAAATGCCTTGCCTCTGGCTTCCCATCCCTTCTTGACGAAGATGGCTATCTGGTGTTCCCCAGCCTCCCCAAGCTCTGGGTTTCTTTCCTCCCTCCTGGGCTCCAGCACTGCCTCCCCATCACATCGCCTTCCTTCCTGCCTTCACTCATCCTCATCTTTGCGCTGCTGCTCTCGGCATCTCAGTCTGTGTCCTTGTCTCTCACCTTCTCACTTCCTCTGGCCCTAGTCCTCTGTTACCTGGAGGGGAAAGCCACTGCCTCTCATGGTTTTTATGATTGTGACTTGAACGACAAACCAGAGGAAGAAGAAGCAGGAGCCACCATGCCTCCATAAGCTATAGTTTTTGAAGACCATCCAACTGTTCTTTGTTATATCCCTTTTCTAGTAGAGTCTAAACATGTCCATAAATTTCACTGACTACCCTCAAAATACTATGTACACCTTCACACACACACACACACACACACACACACACACACACACTCACACTAGTGCATGAGCATTAAGTTAGATACTTCTCTGCATTGCTATCCTAAGTCCAGGACTATACAAATACTGAATTCAGAGCAAGCTGGTAAGGCCATTGTATAAATCCCTTAGGTCACACTGGATTGTTAAAGGAGTGTGTGAGCTGGGAATCTGCATTCCTCTTAAGTATTCATATTCACTCTGTTTTGAAGACACGTATCAGTGCTGTTCCTTAAGCATGGGGTCTTTATGTTTTGAAACTTAGAATGCTTTAGGCATAATTGTAAGTGACATGTATCAGGAGAACTTAGCATTATTAATCTTGATAAATTCAAGTTTGTACTTGTACTTAGGAGCCTGGATTTGTATATTGCACTTCTGATGTTTCTAATAGTCTCAGAAACTCCGCATCTGTTGTACTTCAGCGTTGGGGGCCAGGTAGATACTCCAGCTGGTCGTCTTTCTTCTACCCCGAGGCATGTCATTACCAGGTGTTCTATAAGAAAGATAAATTTAACAAATGAAAAGTGAAACACGGCTTTGAGAGATTAGGCTGTATATGAGAGGTTGGCTTTTTAGTGGTTATTTATTTACAAATAGGTCTCTGAGGCTTTTGCATCTGTGAAAGACAGCTTTTTTGAAGTGTTCTACCTCTGCACTACAAGGAAGTCAGCCTTCGTGTGCAATAGTGCATTGTAATCATTTTGTTCAGTGTGGTCCGGAGACTAAGTGTCCTGTCTCTTAGGGACTCTATCAGCACAGCATAAATCACAGAATTCAGGGCAAACACAAAGAAAAATATAAGAAATGGAGTGAGTATACTGTTGTAGGAAAAATTGTAAGTTTCAACATTTGCGTGAGAAATACCAAAGATCAACACTTTAGTGAATTAAATGTTGGCCGAGAAGTTGGAGGCTGATTCTTGACAGGTCAGATTTTCACCTCTGATACAGAGGTGGGGTGGCGGAACTCTGGGCACCCACTCACCTCTCCACACCACTGGATGGTTATAGGACACGGCTCCTTCCGTGTGTGGCCCTGCCAGCCCGGCCCAGGGAAGGAGCCCTAGCATGGAGTGCCCCGGAAAGTGGATTTTCCTTCTGTGTCGGTGTTTCTGTTTCTAACACTAGTTTTCTACTTTCAACATTTACTCAGTATTTCTTAGTCTTACGCCTTAAAATTGATTCTTTGGGATCATGAAATACTGGAAAATGGCCAACAACAGAAAACTAATGTATAAAATTTTATGAAAAGAAATTGGCTATATTTTAAAGATTATTTATAAATACCCATTTTAAAATGAAAAACCTAATAGTCTAATTTTGCCCCAAGAAAACCTATTTTTAAAACCTGGTTGGACAGGGTATAATGATGTAAAATTTGTAACCTGTAAGAGTGGAAAACAAATTTGCATCTCTGCACCTTGTTCCATTGCTACTTAGCTTTTGCCATCTTGGCACTCTCATAATTTTATTCCTGTTTAAAAAGGAATTCTTGAAAGTAGAGCATAATCTAGGGACTGAGAAAGAGTGAAGCTTCCATTCTCCATTCCACTTGTACAAAGGATCATTTCCATCCCATGTACAACAACTAGGTTCCAGAAGAGCACGGTGGCTTAGTATCATCTTCCGAGGGCCGGGAGTAAAGGTTGTGCTGCTGCTGCACCATTAAGTTTGGCTCCAAGAGCCCCTTCTTTCTGCCTGTGTGCTGTGTGACTTTGCAGGGGAAGACGGAAGACGTGGAAACATACCCCCAGGAGGTGTCTGCTTTCCCTTATGTTAAATACTAAGTGCCTGCTGCCTGCCGTTATTATTGGTGGGGCTAGGGGTGGGACATGATAGATATACCTTTTGGGGTTTTCTGTAAATTTTGTCTAAGCTTTTAACATTTTTATTCTCTTATTTTAAAGCCTTAGATTACGAAACTCTAGGTTGTTTGTAGTGTTTGCTGATTGATACACTTATGTTTATTTGCCTTTCCCCCTGTGTGTGATTTAATTTCACAGAAAAATACCTTGAGAGTAGAAGGGGATAATATTTATGTCAGACATAGCAATTTAATGTTGGAGGTTTGTATGATCTCAGAACCCGCTCCACTCTGTCCTCTGGCTGCCAGGCTGCTGTGGACGGGAGGTCACGCACAGGCTGGCTGGCCATTCTGTTCAGGCACAGTGCATGCAATGCATGGGGCTGTTGATCTTGGGGGTGCATGCTACCCGTCCAGTTTGGTCCTTAGGTGGCGTGGATAGGAATATATTTACTGTAAGTTCTCAAAGTGATAGCTGGGGAGAAAAAGTCTTCATTTAAATAAGGTTTGTCCTTACTAAGTAAGCTTGTTCCCTAACAGGTCATCTTTAAGCTAAAGTAACACAATCCCATATTTAATATATATCAGAGTAGGTCATTTTTCATGTGGCGTTGCCCACTCACTTGACTCTTGAGATATGGTTTGTTTCTCTCTCCTTGAGCTCTCACTGCAGTCCCTGTGATGAGGTGTGTGTCCATTTAAAGTGTTCTCCCTGAGACTCTGTTAATTGATAGAATTGTTCCCACTAGAGAAAAAGAACAGAGGAAAGAGAGTGAAAGGGAAGTGGGGGAGGGGGAGAGAGAAACAGACAGCAGACAGACAGAGAGAGAGAGGACAGGTAAGACAGAGGCATTGGGAGCTGTAAACTGTTCCCCATGTCACCCGAGAACAGTTTTTCCTTCTCCAGCTGAGGGTGTGCAGCGTGTTCCGTGGCCCTGCAGCTCTGGGTAATCTGACTAATCTCTTGGGTTGCTTTTGGCAGCTTTGATAACCGTGACAATGTCTTTTGCTTAACTTACTAAAGTGTGCTGTAAAGTATAATAAGTAACGCTGCTGTGAACAAATGCAAGAAATGTGCCTGATCTCAAGCCAGCCATTTCCCCAGGCCATGCAAAAGTTTCGGGTTCCCGTGAGCTTTTAAAGGTGGCTGTAGACGCTCACGGTGAGCTACTGTGCTCGCGCATGACCGTGGGCTAGCTGATTTTATCAGGTGCATGACCTGCCTTTGGGAGTGGAACTGTAATCTGCAGGCAGCCTGTGAGGCCCGTGGAGATGTAAGAAAACATGTAAAGTCATGCTAATTCAAATTTCTGAACCCTGATCACACACGCACTGCTTACCAGAGCCAGTTTTTGTTCTTGGCTGTTTTTGTTGTTGTTGCTTTTTTCTTTGAAATCTGCTGAATATATCATTCATTGGGCCGGTGAAAATAGAACTATAGGTGTTTTTCATCTTTGAAAAGATTTAAGTACCATGTGTTGCATGAGGTGGCCGGGTTTCTCCTCTTCTCTTGGCATTACACAAGACCAGTGTGTGGTTCAGTTTAGAACAAGCCCAGGCAGAAAAAAGGCTCTGGAAGCAGCTATTTTTGTTCTTTAAGAGTGGAAAGCCACAACTAGAATTCTCTGGTTTGTCTGCTGTTATTGATGGTCCTGGACAGGTGTTCTCCCTTCAGGCCAGGTGTGGCTTCTGTTTTTGCTACATCCACAGACTACAATTTAGAATATCACAGAGATAACATAGGGGAACAAAGTCATTGGCTGCTGTTTAAACCCAAGTGTGTGGACACACACACACACACACGCACACGCACGCGTGCACGCACACACACTCGTATGTATAAAAAGGATTCTTAACCATTATGGTCAGTTCCATGGCTCCCTCCTTATATGAATAATTTAAAATCTCAAACAGAGAAGAAATTAAAATCATTCAAATATGAGTAAAATAATTCAGTGGCTTAATTTTCAAATTTTTATGAACTCAGGGCTAATAATAATAATAGGTAATAATATGGCTTTTGAGACTTGGCATTTTTCTTGCTTTATTGTATCTTTGAATCGTAAGTTTACTTTATCTTTTTTTTTTTTTTTTTTTTCTTGGTTCTACTTTTGCCCGGCTGGGTTTTTTTTTGTTTGTTTGTTTGTTTGTTTTGGATTCCTTTTTGTCATGTTACATGTTGCTAGGACCTGGATAAGGCCCAGGAGGACATACTGAAACATCAGGCTAGCATTAGTGAGCTCAAGCGCAATTTTATGGAGTCCACACCTGAGCCGCGCCCCAGTGAATGGGAAAAACGACGTATCACACCTCAGTCCCTGCAGACACAAGGGGTATGTCACTAGCTGTTTGTGGTTTTATGTCTCTCACTCTTATTTGTTGATTCTCAGAAGTCAGAAAGTATTCCCACATAAATTCTTTTTCATTGCTAACAATTTTTTAAAGTACTAAGTATTAACAATGTAATATTTGTTGGCCTAAGTAAGTTTTATGAGTTTCAGAGTGTAAACTTACTGCTGTATTCGGGTAAATTAGTAGTATGAAATTGTTACTTAGGACATCTTGGAAACTAATGTAATGCTGTATCTACGAACCTTCTTAGTTATTGACTTCTCAGATAAAGATGTTTAGTTGGTAAAGGTTTAAGGTCATTACTATGAAGATAAAGAGTTACGATTTACCTTTAAAGATTGATGGACTTTGTTGAAAAGTTTTGAAATATTATATGTCAGTCCACTTGGACTTCCTGGCAGAGTAAATAGAGTTATGTTTCAAAACATTATAAATAACAATGAGCCTCAAACTTACTCTTTCTTCTTTTCACAGACAGTAAGGTTTGCTTTTTACCTTCACCAAGTATTACCTTTAGAATACATTCTCAGAATGTCTCTGCATCCATTCCATTCTTTACCTTTTTTTTTTTTTTTTTTTAATGCTTCCAGATCTCCTGGACAGGAAGTCCATGAGTGCATTCCTCTTGAAGAGACTGATACAATTTGTGCAAAGCTGTTATATTACAGTTTGCTAATGTCCCTTTCATTTTGTATTGACTGTTGCCTGATTGTAGACCTTTGGCTTAGATACTCAGGTGTTATTTTTACTCACCCTCAGAGTAAAGCCCATAGTGGCCAAGTTTGTGGCACTGAACAGAAAGCAGTGCCTCAAAAACCAGTGAACAAAAGCAGTGGCTGAACCGAAAAGTAAAGCCCATCAAATGGAAAGCTGAGATACCTTACATGCTGGGTGTTGTGAAGGAGGAAACCAGCATTTATGGATTGTCTGCTGACCCAGGAAGGCACAGCTTTCCTGTGTACTACTCTCTCGCCTTTGCCCCACCGACCCACACTCTCCTTTTGCATTTGTGTTGCCGTAGGTGTAATGCATGTGTCTTTGTGTTGATTGTGTCATTGTTTAAAACAATAGAGAAAAGGCGAGCATCTTTTCAAGGATATTCTGTCCATGAAGGAGAAGTACCTGAAGGTGACAACGCGCACATCTGAAGAGGAAGCTCAGGCGGACAAGGTGTTCACCATGCATAATTGGATCTGCTTTTGCTCTCTCCTCCCCATGCATTTCTGCTCACAACCAGAGATACTTTTTTAAAATGTCCATCTGTTTTTCAGATAGTTTTTGAATGTTTAAAAAGTTAGGCCCTTAACAGCCAGGGTTACACAGAGAAGCACTGACTGGAAAAAAAATAAATTAAAGAAGAAAAGAAAACCCTTTAGCTAAATATGGTGTTGCATGCCTTTAATCCCGGTACTCTGGAGGCAGAGGCAAGTGGATCCCTTAGTTCAAGACCAGCCTGGTCTACAGAGTGAGTTCCAGGACAGCCAGACTACACAAAGAAACCCTGTCTGGAAAAACCAAACCAAACCAAACCAACCAACCAACAAGTTAGGTTTGTATGTATTAGCGTAGGAACATTGGGGAGGCGCACCCTATCTTAGCTCCTTATGTCATTTGGAAGTGCAGCAATATCTGATATGCAATCCATTGTTTGATACCTGCAGTTTATGGTTGGGAAACGCGTGTCATGGAAATACGCCGTCTGTCCCTTAGGCATTACTAATCACACATGGGAAACTTTTGGATTCCAGTTGTTCACATTTTTAATGTAACAAAAGAGATACTAATGTACACAGCAGCTGAGAATGTGTCACACTTAAATTTCACAGTCTTTATTAATGAAGATGAGCAACTTTTCTGTGCTGAAAATTTTAAGAACTCTCTTCCCCCCCCCCCCCGCCTTCTTAGGTCATTGTCTTAAGAACCCTTTGTGCATGGTCCGCATTATCTGCTTTAAAAGATCTCTGGGGAATGTGACTTGTTAAGAATCTTTACAAACTGCCACTTGGCGGTGGCAGGGATGTTTGGGTATAGGGATTTCCTGGTTCATCCTTGGTGGCCTTGCAGGTTTCTGAGGGTTGTCACAGCTTATATGTCATCCTTTCAGGCTGGCTTGGAAGTGCTGTCTAAGACATAGCAATGTGAAAGTTAACTATACCTTAATAGACTTTCAGGCAAATGAGCTCACTGACCACTAAGCTTTCAGTTCTGGCTTGTCTTGAAATTTTAAAAACTTTTTTTTGGGAAAAAGTGAAAGTGGAACACTCCCCAGGGAGGTCCACGACTGTCCATTGCAGTTCTGTGCAGCAGGGAAGAAGTCATGGGAGCTAGGGTGGTGCTTTGTTCAATGGCCAGTCGAAGTCCAGATGCACAGGGAAGGGCATTAAGAGCAGGTTGGGTAGTTAGCCAGGGTCTAGCACAGGAAGGAAGCATTTCTAATGTAGGGGCTGCTGGGGAGACAGTTCTCTGCGGAAAGAAGCCAAGGAGCTACCTTAGAAGTCAGTGTTTGAGGATTTGGGGAGTGCCATTTGATACATCTCAGCGGTAAATGGAGTCGTAGCTGGCTTCTGTAGGTTAAAACTACCAGAAATTCTCAGGCAAAGTGCAAAAGCTGGCTTTCAGGTAAACTTTCATAGACGCATGCTCCCATCTACGAGATTCTTTCCTTTCGTTGTATGCTGTTCTGTTTTTCTTTCCTGTGTAACCTTTCCTTCCTTTTAGTAGGTCACTGCTGTCTGTCCTGATTCATTGCTAACTCTTTGCTCTTCCTTTTCTGACCTCTAGAGCCTAGAAGAGGAGATAATATCAATTTTGTTTAGTGGAAAGGGCTTTTCTCATAGTGTGAAAGCCTCCTTCCCTTCATCTACCACTTGGACAGCAGAGGGCGCTGTTGTGAACTCTAATGCACCTAGAGAAAAGCTTTCTTCTGCACCCTTCTCACACCTGCCTGAGGTGCCTTTTACTTTGTTTATCCTTCTACTAAAAGCCACATAGGAAACAGATTTTCATTTTTTTTTTTTTAGTATTTAGGTACCTTTCCGTCTACTATATCAAGTGAAGTCACTGGGAGAAACAGTTAAGAAACAGGGAATTTAAAAAGTAGTAGATTGGGTAATTTCTCATATTTTTGTTTAAAAACAGAACAAAACAACAACAACAAAACCTATCTAAATGCTGGAAACTGTTTATGGCACTGAGGCCCAGAGCTGTAGTGACCAGGCGCATGGAAGGGCAGCCTCAGCCAAGCGGAAGTTCAACTGAGGGCTTTGCACAGCTCAAGGTTCCAAAGCCCAAATTTCAGGCATCTTCTGGTAGTTTATTATATAAAGTAGCAGTCAGACGCCTGGCCAGAGTTCCTGTGCTGATTGTGTTGGATAATCCTCTGGAACTCTCTAAACTTGAGCCAGGCCTGCCTAGCCATTATGGCTGAGTAATCCTAGTTATCTCTCTGGCCTGTAGTAAGTCTGAGACGACTGCCTTAGAGATGCTCTGAGCATCCAGTGTCTTCATCTCTGGAGCAACATGTGGCTCAGTTTAATATGTGAAACTCCTGAGTCTGTGGTAAAGCTGGAAAGCTGATTCTGTGTTCTGTTGCTCACATGCTTACATGGTATGAATTTTGAGCAACTCAAACATACAATTACCATGCATTTCAGACTAAAAGATTTCAGGCTGTAACACTGCCTCATAGGAGCTACAGACAATTGTATCATGTAGCTCTGGGTGTCCTTTGTTGGTGGGACCCATGAAGTACCTGATGTCTGTGAGGAAAACCTCTGAGCACAGTTAGTGTCTTGGTGGGACAACAGTTAGTGTCCAGCCGGGTCAGAGGACCAGCGCCCTTCTGCATTCGGTGTGCGTGATGCCTTGAGTAGATAGCACGGCTGCCTGGAACTGAATTACCTTTCTGTTAGATCACTGATAGGACATTCATTTCTCTCAGTGTAAGGTAGCACAAAGCCTTCAGAACTCCACGAAGAGAAGCCGGCACCCTAGTTAGTACTGGACTCCAGTAACTTCTGTTGCTCCTGTATTCTACAGGCAGGCATTAGATGGAGTGCTCAGCTTCTGTGTTACCAAGTGGAATAGATTAAGAAGAAGGTATCCACGGGGGATTGGGGCGATCGTCCTCAGTAATAAGCTTAACCCATCTCCAGTGTCAGTGTTGGTTGTGAATGAGCTAAATTCTAAGAGGAGACACGTGGGCAGGCATTGCCATCCACTCAGAATCCATGTTACAAATTGAGATGTTAATATCTTTTGGGAGTGAACATTTTGACGTTAATAGCTATTCAGAACCAGCCGTGATTGTGCTAATCCAAGCTACAAAGAAAGCAGACAATCAATGAATCAATAATTTATTTAGGACTTGGGGTTCTAGCCAGTGTTCTAGATTTACTTAATGGGTTTTAAAAAGTTAAAACACTTAAAGTGTTTAAGGAACAGATTTCTGAGTTTTAAACTTTATCCTTTAAGCTGATTAGTAAACTTAGGTATTAATACTTGTTTTTCTTTAACATTATCAAGTCCATAAATAGGGCTTATGCCTGTAAATTTTTTTTTATGTCTTTGCAAGAGTACTGGCCGTTTTTGTTGTTGTTGTTGTTTGTTTGTTTTTGTAAGTGTTGTGGCAAGTGTCTAATTGTCTGGTGTGACCTTGAGCCCAGGTTTCAGTAGGGTTGGTTGATTCTTAATGCTGCTCTGTGTTTGCTTTATCACGTATCTGTTTTGGTGGTTGTTGAGGTAAAACTATATTGATTTTGTGTCCTCGGTTGCTTTTTGTTTCACAGACTCGCACTCTCTCGCCGGAAGGGCCTTGCACTGGAACCAGGGACGCTGTTAAGGTTCTCCCTCCTCTGTGTTAATGCCATTCGCTAACACCTCCCACCCCGCTCATGTTCCCTGCTTCCCTTTCAGTCAGCCATCATCACCATCTTTGTTTCTCTTCATGACATGAACCTGCCATCGGTTAAGTTGGGTTTTCACTGTTTTTATTTATCCGTATGTTTTTGTTCTCCCTCATCCGTCTTTTCTTGTGCAGCGTTCACATGAGACTCTGAATGTAGTGGAGGAGACGAAGCGGGCAGAGGTTGGGAAAGACGAAAGCGTAATCACGGAAGAGAGGACCGGTAAAGAGCTGTCACCTGGGAGTGCTCCTGGGGACACTCGTAAGGTGGAGCCAGTGGCACAGAAAGACTCCACCTCCCTGTCTTCCGAGAGCAGCAGCAGCAGTGAGAGTGAGGAGGAAGATGTGGGAGAGTACCAGCCCCACCACCGAGTGACTGAGGGCACCATAAGGGAAGAACAGGAGGAGTGTGATGAAGAGATGGAGGAAGAACCGGGCCAAGGAGCCAAGGTAGTAGAGAGGGAGGCAGCAATGCCCGAAGCCATCCCAGACAGACAAGCAGGGGCCAGTGCACACACAGTAGAGACAGAGGCCCAGGAAAATGTAGGTGCCCAAAAGATCCGTGCAGAGAAGAGTGCGCTCGGAGGCACTGCTAAGCAAGCCATGAGAGAAGAAGCAGAGGACGAGCAGCACACAGTTAACGGAGAGGTGCCCCGTGGTGACATTGATGTTTTACCAGAGATTATTTGTTGTTCAGAGGTAAACGGGAGTCTCAAGCATGAGCTAAACTATGGCGCTGTCTCTCAGTTGGAAACACCTGCATTCTTCACCTTTCCCCTGATTCTCCTTCAGCTCTTGCAGCAAGAAGCTGGTGTTCGTTTCTCATGGGAAAAGGGGAAAGCACTGCTTTGTAGGTCTGCACCTCAGGTCACAGTCTGTAGCTTCTTTTCGGCTACTGCAGTACCTGCAGGGCAACTTCCACAGCCGCATCTATTTTGCTTCTCATTTCCCATTTTTAGTTTTCCTTTGCATGTTTTGGGTGCTTTTCTGTCTATGCACTACTTCAATTCCATGCCTTTTCTCATCGGCTTCAGTGGTGGAATGTGCATGTACTGTGAAAAGCTGGTGGGCTTAAGTGTGTGTGCTCCTGCCCTAATGATTGGCTGTGGCTTTTGGGGTCATTCTCGCTTTTTCTTAGCGCTTGTGGAGGGGCCGTCGTCTTGCGGTGATGAGAGCACTGTTTCTTGAGTGCCACATGACTCTTGTCTGTGGAGTCCAGGGAGAATGGTTTGCTTACAAGTCTTTCTCTTCTTGGCATCCAAGGACTGGACATTTTACCAGAAGCACGCTCTTCATGTGCTTCCATCAAACCTGGGTTACTAGCAAACTGATTATTTTGTAGACCGTCTTTTTCCTTTATTTGTAGGGAAGAGAATCTTGCATCTTCCTCTCAGATTCAGTCTTACGAGGGGCATTGTCTGTCACATGACAGTTTACTTGCGCAGGAATGTCTACTGTTTGCAGATCTCCCAAAGTGCCGGGATCTATCAGCATTTGCTCTTTGATTGAGTGGACAGTCTTTAAGTGGCTCTGTTTTGGAATAATAAATAGGTTACTTTAAGTTTCATATTTCACTTCAGAGAAGACATCTCAAGAGTCTTTTGAACACTTTGAACTACCCTTTCCATTTAAATAATTATACCTGTTGGGAGTCTTCTCTCAGAAGAAGTGTTACTTGCTAGTGCTGTAGTCTGGTGTACGTATGCCTGTGTGCTCAGCAGGGTTAATGAACATTGAACCTCTCTGCTTAAGATCGCCAGAGCACTTACTGCAACTGGACCAATTTTAGATACAACATTTTATTGTACTTAATGCAAAAGAAAGGGAACTTCCAGATGGCTGTAATTGAAAATATTCATACTTGAAAATATCCTTTCTGACAATGCTATCTTCTGGGGTGCGGGGGGGAGAGTAAATCTTGGCCTACATAGCTTACAATCCAATTAAAAATAATAAGCCTTCACATTGTGGTTCTGTAAGCTTCCGTAAAAATAACGATAGGTACCTTTATGTAGTGCATTCTGTTACCTTTCAGTGTTAACATAGTTTCCCCCAAAGTAAAGTGTACGAGTCATTGTAGTGGTTTAGGGTCACCACAATTTCAAGAGTAACAGAGTTTAGGGAGCCATTATTTTAGCTTATCTTCACATATATGTATGTATATCTATGCACATATGTATAAGTATGTGTATATGCACATATATGCACATGCATACGTGTACATACGTGCATGTAAGACATACTTTAAGGAGATAAAGCTTTTGCATTCTTTTATTTTAGGTTATCTACTTTTGCTCTTTTCATGCACGAGTGTGTGTTTGGATGTGTTAACAATTATTTTGAAGGTTCCTTTAAACACTTGTACTTCATGACCACTAGAATTTATCTTTCCCTTCCTTTTCCACCTCAGCCACCAGTGGTAAAAACAGAGATGGTAACAATTTCTGATGCCTCACAAAGGACAGAAATCTCCACCAAGGAAGTCCCCATTGTTCAAACCGAGACCAAAACCATCACATATGAGTCTCCGCAGGTACAGAAGCCCGAGGTTTGGGCTGTTTGTCCGTTTTTGTCTCGTATATTTCTGTTTACCGTGTCTTCCCTTGTTCTGGTTTTGACACAGCTCTCCGCACTTTGTTAGGGCCCCGCCAGTGTGACTTCCCTGTTGCTCCCTTAGATGTAGACAGGGCTATAGTCAAATGGCTGAGTCCAGGACTGGAGGTAGAGGGAAGCTCGAAGTTCAGTCCTGGCAGCTGGAGAAAGGATTACCTCAATTAGAGAGGAGGAGCAGATAGTGACCTAGGACTTATATAGGAGAGCCGTCCAAGTGCTTAGTTAAGGCAAGCAGCACAAGACGCCGGCGGCCTTGCCAAGCTTTCTAGGTGTTGTGTAGATTGGGAGTGCCTTAAGCCTCCCCTGCTCCGGCTTATTCCCCCTGACACACGGGGTGACTTCATGTAACAGTGTCAGAGTAGCTAAGGGAAATGCACACTTAGTTCCAGCTCTGCAGACACTGGTTCTACAGAGATGCTCAGGTAAGAAGGCTGGAGAAGACTGCTTTAGTTTACAGTGAAGTGTTTGCCACACGAGCGTGAGAGCCCCAGTTCAGATCCCTGTTCAAAGCTGGGAGTGGGCATGGCTGTGAGTCCAGTGCTGGGATGGAGATCCAGGGGCTGTGCAGCCAAATGTGAATTGGCTCAGGTTCAGTGAGAGACTCTGCCTGAAAAACAAAGTGGTGAGCAGTTGAGGAAGACAGCTGTCCTCTGGGCCCCACAACAGGCTCATATGCACACAGAATCAAATAAAATGTAACAAAAGTGCTTCACCATTTCAAAGTGGACCTCTTTGAAGATGTAGAGTAAATAGTTCACCTCTGATAGGATTGCAGTGTAGAGAAGACTGTCGGGTCCCGAAATACTTCAAGAATGACTGTGTACATGTATGCAACGTTTCTCAAACAGTTTCAAGGATGTGATACATGTGTATGCACAAAGCCCACATAAGAGCAGACAGGTTTCTTATCATGGGCAGGCTTGTGAGAACATTGCTTTCAGGTCTGTGCTGCAGTACACTCCCTCAGAAAGAAGCTCCGGTGTCTGAGGCAAGTTTGAGAGAAGATTCCTTTGTTCATGTCAGGAAATTGGCAGCTGTGTTGGCAGTCCTAACATAACTAAGCTATTAATTTGCTTTGTTATTTTTCCTGGCAAATTTTAGAATCTTGTGCCTCTTCCAGCGTTAAAGCAAATAAATAAAAGTAGCTTCTTTTAAAGTATATACAATGGCATATATATATATATATCTATATGTATATGTATATATATGTATATACATATATGTATAAGTATATGACATACATGGAACATACCCACATATACAATATGTGCACTCATATGTGCAGTCATATATGTATATACTCATGAGCTATCAACCATTATAAGAACTGTGTAAGTTTTACAGAATAGATTAGTGATAACCAAATAACAGAATCATTCAAGTTCAGTTTGTCCTCATCAGGTTCTGTTAGTAATCTGAAAATGTTTGCTATTTTTACCTACCTGTGCTTCAACACAATAGCAAAGCCAGTAGTTCTGGTCACTGTGGAAACATCTTCACCGGCTCTCGGCTCCTTTTCCAGCTTCTCCAGATGTTCTTTACTCTTGTATGACTTAAAGTCCCAACTTGTACTCCATTCTCCTCTCTGCCGCGGGGTTTGTGTCTGTGCATTCACTGTTTTTCACAGCACTGTCTGGACCGCGAACCTCTGCTCCACCATGCAGAACCTAGGCAGATGGTACCTGCTGCCAGTTGTGGAGCTCCTAGAAGATGCATACTCAGTGGGGGGTCTTTTCCGACATGATGGAAGTTAAGCATTGCTTTGTATTTTTCCTCCACCTATCCAAAGATTGATGGCGGGGCTGGTGGTGATTCGGGCACGTTACTGACCGCACAAACCATCACATCTGAGTCTGCGTCAACAACGACAACCACACACATCACCAAGGTAAAGCTCTAGGGGGACCTAGGGAGAGGATGGTACACAGCTAACAGACCTTTTCCATATCATTTCTTTGTTCCTATACACACTTTTAAGACACAGACAGTGCTAGTGGACTAAATGTCTTTCTTAAAGTAGCCAAAAAAATTAGGCTGTAATGACACATGTGTTTCAAACCAAATTGCAGTTTTGTAAAGTACAAGGGGGTAAAAATACGACTAGCTATTTTTAAGACAGCTACATAGACTAAAGAAGTACTTTAATATAATTGTGGGACTTCTCTCATTTAAAGTTCTAGTATATTGATTTGAGACCTTTACCTGGAGCCTTTTCTAAACACTTAATACCATACCACCCGTGTAGTGCTTGCATTGACAGCATCCGCTGCACCTGGGGCCTGGGTGTCTTAAAGGTCATGACTCACATCAGCCCTCTTGAAACCCAGGAGGGAGCTTCCAGCTGATGCTGATGCATGCCAGTGTAATTCAGTCTGATTTTCCAGTATTTCATTTTGCTTCTATTTTCACATTGGATTAGTGCTTAATGGTCTTAAAGGTATACATTATACACTTTCCACCCCATGTTTTGGACGATAATTTAAAAAAAATCAAACTAGCAAGAAATTTTGTAAATTAAAAAATGCAAGGTGGGTTGGTGCTTGTAACAGATACTCGCTGATAAAGCTGGTGATAAGCTTTATTTCTTAGTTCAGTGCTGCTGTTTGTAAGTCAGCGTGTAGACAATGAAGCTGTAGAGGTTGCCTGTGTGCTGTCTCAGGACTCTGGTATTGGCTGTGCTCCTTTTCAAGGGTCTCAGGATCACCAGCATGAGGGAGCCGATGCAGCCAGGTCTCTGCACAGCCTGTGCACATGTGTTCTGTGTCCAACGTGCCCAACCACACACAGAAACAGCTGTTAGCTCAACCTTTAATGAAAATCCCATTGTTTTTCTTACCTTAAATCAAATAAGTGAACTCACAAAATGAATTTGTATAGCTGGAATCAAGCGTCAAAACTATAGTATCAAATAATTTCCTAAATCTAAAATGTAACTCTACGGATGCCAAACAGGTATTTCTTCTCTCTACTCTCCTTTTCAAAAATTGGCTAACTAACTGGGGAGAAACTTTGGGATTGTGATAGATTATCCCAATGGAGCTACTTAGGTTTTTAAATGGCATCTGTTTCGCTTTAATCTCAGTAGAATCCTGGTATCTTAAGGGCTGCTGTCAGTCACAGCACATGTGTGGATGCTGGAGCACTAACAATAGGACTCTGTGTTAATAGAAAATGTCGAGCGCCCGAGTCTAAGATGATCCATCACCAGGTAGAAGCCGGGCTTCGCCTTTGTTCTCTGCCTGCAAGCTCTAGTCCCTGTTTTTTCTTCTTTTTCTGACCTTAGACTGTGAAAGGTGGAATATCTGAAACAAGAATTGAGAAACGCATTGTGATCACAGGAGACGCAGCCCTGGATCACGATCAGGTAAGGGCCTTTGCCGTCACATCTGTGTCAGTCACCTACTGGTACTTCCGGAACGGAGGCCAGTTCCCTACTTATGGTGGAAAGACTTTTGAAGCCTGCTGTGCCGTCCTGTGAGCTGTAAAGCATGCTGGCACAAATGTGATTAAAATGCAAGGGAGTGGGGACTGCTGATAACCACTAGGGATTCACATTGGCCTGTCTTAAAACTAATGACGAGTAATGACAATTCTTCCCCCCAAAACAAAAAGCAAATAAAAGCCACCAAGGTTTCTTATGCCTAGTTGTCGAAAATTTGCAAGTGATTTTGTAGTGTAAGAAAAGTTGGCCTGTTGATTACTAAGGATTTTTCCCTATCATAATTTGAGGTAGTGGAGGGAAGAAAACATTAATGTTTCTTTTAAGATTAATATTTATACTGATTCTGTTTGCAGGTTAAGCTAAGTGCAATGCTTAATTATAGACAGGTAATGAGTGGGTCTGCTTGATGCTTGATTTTAGACTGCCGTCCTGTGTGGTGAGAAGAGTCTCTTCCTTCTTTTCTCCTCCTCTTCTTCCTTCCTCCTCCCTCACTTTCTTCTTTCCTCCCTCCCTTGATCCTTCCCATCCTCCCTTCTTTTCTCCCCTTCTTCCTTCCTTCCTTCTTTCCCTCCCTGCCTCTCTCCCTTCCTTTTTTCTTCCTTCCACTTCCTCCTCTTCCTTCCTCCTCCATCTCCCATCCTTTTCTTCCTTTCTTTCTCTAGCTCTCTTGTTTTCTTTTTTTAACTGATTTTTACAAAAGAAAGCAAAGTATTTTTCTTTACAACTTAAGAAAGGAAGAGAAGTATTTGATAGACACAGCCTTGCGCCTTGTGCTGTGCCAGAGCTGTTAGAACTGCTTTCTTGAGAAACACAGCGAGGCCAGAGAGGATGGTGTGTTGCGAATTTGTAAGCGTGGTATTTTAATTACATGTTTTATAATTTGGGGGATTTGTTTCTTTGCTTGTTGATTTGATTTTCTTTTCTGAGGGTTAGAGATAAAGTTGCTCTGTTGCTAGGGTTTGAACTTAGAGTGGGGGGTTCCTAGGAGGTGACTAGTCCACTTCCTGTGGGAAAGCGCTGTCTGTGGCACTGACACCTCTGGTTTCCCGTGCACTGGGTTTGTTCTGCTGCTGCCCGCTGGGGTCTGGACTTCCCCTGAGTGGCAGGTGGGTATCTAACTCCTACTCTTCCTCTGGCATTCTGGGTCAAGAAGTGTTCATTAAGTTCCTACCGCATTCTAAGAGGAGGAAATGAAAGTTGAGGTATCTTCCCAGCCATTGCTTCTTTAACCTACTCCCCAAGAATGGACACCCTTCCATGCTTTATAATAACTTTTCCCAGCTGGGTAGCTCTCAGGTTTCACTTTCTGTGTTTCACCTTTTAACCTGTTTGCCTTGAAAACTCAGGTTTATGTAACATTGCTTATAAAAGGCAAATACAAATAACAGATATGAAACCTATGGATCCTAAAATAACAATTCTAATTAAATAGGATGACCTGGTATCCTTAACTGTTGATGTGGGAACATATGGTCTCCTGTGTGCTGCAGCACTATTAAAGTGAGGTCCGGTGTGCACCTTTGTCACAGAAACTCATGCGGGCCCTTTCTTCATAAAGCTATGCCATTGGAACTGTGTAAAATTAAATGAAGAAACTGCTTCCTTGCCAAAAACTGACGCTGATTGCATAGCGACCCTAACAGCATTCACATCTTTTCTGCTTCTTTTTTTTATGTTCAAAGGAATCACAGTAATGGGCTATCCCTCAATTTGAGTGAGACACAGAAAAAAATGCCTCGTGTTGATGATTTGAAAGGCTCACTCTTATACAAGGCAGATCAGCAAGTCTCTGTTCTCTGCTGGTCGTGATTCTCTGGTTCATCCCAGGAATGAATGAGTCATATTTACTCTTCTGAGCATACTTTTTCTAGTGAAAGTAGTTGTCAGCCTGGTGTGGCGGTGCACGCCTGTTGGCCTAGGTCACCTCTCAGGAGACTAGAGTAGAAGGAGCCCTAGAACTTCAAAACTGACCTGACTGTGCTGAGACTCCGCTCACAGGTTCTTCGTTGCGATTTGACGATGTGATTTTTTCTCACGGTCTTAATTACTGCCATATTAATATCTTACTAACATGTTACTGTATTTAGTCTCTTTTTTATAATTTATTTATTACAATTTATTCACTTTGTATCCCAGCTGTAGCCCCACCCTCATACCCTTCCAATCCTGACATTTAGTTTAAGCTGATAAAGAATGAAAGGATTACAAGCATAATTTCATATACAGGCTGGAGATTTGGCTCAGTGGTTAAGAGATGCTGACTTTTTTTCCAGAGGACCGGGGCTTGCTTCTCAGCACCCACATGGCAGATCACAACCATCTGTAACTGCTTCTAGGAGACCTTGCACCCTGCTCTGGCCTCCATGAACACTAGCACACTTGGTACACAGGCATACTTTCATGCAGAACAACTGTACACATAAAATTAAAGAAATGAAGATGTATGAGGTGTTGATTATGGTTCTTCCTCTTCCCCTTTACTTTGTAGATTTACCTAGGTTTACTGAACAGAGCTTCAGGGTATGTACCCTAACTTAGGGCAGATAGAAATGATAATGTGACCCAGTGAAGCATTTACCCCACACAGGCACCAGAGCTAAAGGAACATTGCACTGCTTCCTGCTGTTCCTGAGTATAGGCTTTCTTATGCGATGGGTGACCTATATCCCAGAAGAATTTGATGTTCTTCTTAGGAATCTTTCCTTGACTTGGTTCTTCTGCGGTTTTTATTTTTTTCTTTATTTTTCCTCCAAAACTTCTTTGCAAATAAAATTGGCAGTAATTAAGAAAGCTATGTTCAACAATCAATAAATGGGACCTCATGAAACTGAAAAGCTTCTGTAAAGCAAAGGACACTGTCGTCAGAGCAAAATGACTGCCTACAGATTGGGAAGGGATCTTCACCAACCCTCTATCTGACAGAGGGCTAATATCCAGAATATATGAAGAACTCAAGAAGTTAAACAGCAACAAATCAAGTAATCCAATTAAAAAATGGGGTACAGAGCTAAACAGAATTCTCAATAGAGAAATATTGAATGGCAGAGAAACACTTAAAAGAATTGTTCAGTGTCCTTAGTCATCAGGGAAATGCAAATCAAAACAACCCTGAGATTTCACCTTATACCCATCAGAATGGCTAAGATTAAAAACTCAAATGACAACACATGCTGGAGAGGATGTGGAGAAAGGGGAATCCTCCATTGCTGGTGGGAATGTAAACTTGGACAATCACTTTGGCACTTCTCAGACAATTAGGAATAGCGTTTCCTCAAGATCCAGCTGTACCACTCCTGGGCATATATCCAAAAGATGCTCAAGTATACAACAAGGACATTTGCTCAACCATGTTAGTAGCAGCTTTATTGGTAATAGCCAGAAGCTGGAAACAACCCAGATGCCCCTCAGTTGAGGAATGGATACAGAAATTGTGGTACATCTACACAATGGAATACTACTCAGCAATTAAAAACAAGGAAATCATGAAATTTGCAGTCAAATGGTGGGAACTGGAAAAGATCATCCTAAGTGACGTGTCCCAGAAGCAGAAAGACACACAGGGTATATACTCACTCATAAGTGGATATTAGATATATGATATAGGATAAACACACTAAAATCTATACACCTAAAGAAACTAATCAAGAAGTAGGACTCTGGCTAAGTTCCTCAATCCCCGTTCAGAAAGACAAAGAGGATGGACATCAGAAGGAGAAACGGAACAGGACAGAAGCCTACCACAGAGGGCCTCTGAAAGGCTCTACCCTGCAGGGTATCAGAGCAGATGCTGAGACTTATAGCCAAACTTAGGGCAGAGTGCAGGGAATCTTATGAGAGAAGGGGGAGATAGTATGACCTGGAGAGGACAGGAGCTCTACAAGGAGAACAACAAAACCAAAAAATCTGGGCACAGGGATCTTTTCTGAGACTGATACTCCAACCAAGGACCATTCATGGAGATAACCTAGAACCCCTGCACAGATGTAGCCCATAGCAGCTCAGTCTCTAAGTGGGTGCCCTAGAAATGGGAACAGGGACTGTCTCTGACATGAACTGATTGGCCTGCTCTTTGATCACCTCCCCCTGATGGGTGAGCAGCCTTACCAGGTCATAGAGGAAAACAATGCAGCCAGTCCTGATGAGACCTGATAGACTAGGATCAAAAGGAAGCAGAGCAGGACCTCCCCTTTCAGTGGGCTTGGAGAGGGACATGGGTGGAAAGGAGGGTAGGATTGGGAGGGGAGGAGGAAGGGAGCTAGAGGGGGGATACAAAGTGAATAAACTAATTAATAAAAATTAAAATAAAAATTAAAAAATATAAGAAAAACACAAAAACAAAAGAAAAAAGAAAGCTATGCCTCCCTCTTAGAAATGGGATCTTTCCATGTTACATAGCGTGCTCTGTGACGAAGGAGAGGTATTCTCGCTCCCCTCCTCATCCATGGAAGGGACCATGAGGCAGCACATAGGCACTCTGGGTCCTCTTCACTTGCCGCTGATGCTGGCTGCTTGGGGTTGAGAAAGCCATTAACTTTGGGTCTCAGCTGCAGAAAGGGGCCCGCAGGAGATCATTCCGTCTGTTCTTCTCCTAATGGTTGTTTTTATTTCTGTTGCTGCTCTGTAGTTCTGTTCCCTATCGGCTTATAGGTATTTTTCCTAGTAGTGTTAGTATAATGTATCAACTTCAGACGATTACTGAGAGTCTTAGATGACAGGATTCGGAGGTCTGGTCCATGACATGGAGTTCCCATCTCCTGTGTGATGACTGCTCCTGAGCGTATACCTAAGGCACTGGACTTTCAGTTGACGTCATTACCTACATTTATACCTCATTATACCTACATTAAACCTCAAATGAGCTTTATTGCCTTTGCACTAGTCTGAGCTTCCAGGTAAGAATTTATGAGAAAAACCATGTTCTAATAGCACAGTGAGTGCAAGCCTGGCCTTCGAAGGCAGTGTGTTTCTCCTGTATGCTTCACCTCTTGAAGGCACACAGAAGGACGGGAAGCGGAGGGAACGGCAGGCTTTATCTGAAATGAGCAATGGACAAATTCAAATGTCCTGTTCTTATAAATGAAGACATGAGCAGTGTGGCTGGAGCTTGTGTCTGGTTGATGAAGGTGTGTGTATTCTGCCATGTTGAGCCAAATACTCAGCTCATGATTGCTTGTTCTTCTGACCTTGGTAGGCGCTGGCTCAGGCCATTAGGGAAGCCAGAGAGCAGCACCCTGACATGTCCGTCACGAGGGTAGTAGTGCACAAAGAAACAGAGCCGCTGGAAGAAGGAGAAGAATAAGGTATGAAAGCCGCCAAGCCTCTCCTGTGACTGCTCTGTGATCCTGTGCTGTGTGCTTTATGTCAGGGTCTTTGTCTTCTGCAGTTTGAATGCTCTTCTTCAGTTTGTTATCTGCAGGCGAAGCTGTTGAAGGTGTGTGATCAGGGCCTGTACACTGTCTTGTCTAGCTGGTGCTGATGATGCCATTACATAGCAGCTGCTATGGATATGTATGTTCCTTCTCTGTCAAGTGTGTTAAGGTGCTATGTCGTTAACTGACACTCACGATGACCATTGCAGAATGGTGCTGTTACCTTTATCTTAGAGATTCATCTTGTGTGAAAGGCAAGTCTCTCACATCTGTATGTTAAAAATTGTGTATCAAACAGGGAACTGTAATGAGTATAATGCTTGCATTGCCTAAATGTTTTAAGTTTCAGTTGGACCAAGTGGGGGGGGGGAGTAATGATAAATGGTGCTTAATATAATCATCAGAAAGGAGTTCGTATTCTCAACAAACCAGGAGCTCTATTGAGTAATTAAGAGAACTTAAATACATCTAGGGGAAAGTGGGCTGAAGATCACACAGGTGAGCACTAAGTGAAGCAGAAACCTTCTGCCTTCCTCTGTCGCTTAAATTAGTAAGAATTAAACGGCTAGTGGAACTTTTGTTCACTCATGTGGCACAAATTTGTTTTAGGAAGTTTTGGGAGATATGGGGAGAATCCATATTTAAATGCTGATGTATTTCATAGAAGACAATTTGCCGAAGCCCATCTCAAAGTATTTAGTATTTACGGTAAACGTCTGTATCTTTAAACAACCTTTAAGAATTTAGTGAGGGCCAGTGGGAAGGCTCAGCACGTGAGAGCTCCTGCTGCCTGCTAGACCACCTCAGGTCCATCCCTGGTACTCACACAAACACATATGTGCACACACAAAATAGATACAATAAAAGCAATACGTTTGCTTAAATACTCCAAGATGTTTGCTGATACTCCTCTTGAGAAGTATCACATATTTTAAAAAGCCAGTCAGATTTATGAGTGAGGAGCCTGTCTAGAACGGAGTAACACTGGTGTTACACCAGTAACTGCATTATCATCAGACCACCATGCTGCGTACTAGACGCAAGAGATGAGGCCATTTAAATGACTGTTTGTATGGAAGTGGTTCGTATAGCTGCTTCTGTGGGGTGACTAAGGAATTCCTGATGGAACGTGTAAGTGTTATAATTGTCTGTTGGGTTTTACCAAACAGGTCTTATTATAAGGAGCACAGAGTAAGATTACTTTTTTAATAGTCTGTCCTCTGACCAGTCAGAGAATGGCTAGCTCCAGGAATGGCAAGGTGTTGGAGCCTCTATCCTCTGCCTTGCACAGTAAACCAAGTTTCGTGGTCCACCTGCAGAGAGTGAAGACCCTAACAGTTCGCAGTCTCATCTCTGAGAGTTTTTTTCTGCTAATTTAGGGGACAAGAAATGACAAATAGCTATGATTGTAATTTCAGTTCTTTCCATTGATATCTTTTTGCCATTCATACTTTTTCTGTAAAAATAGGAATAGTGAGAAAACTCAAAATATTTCTGTGAAATGAGTGTTTACCTTCTTAAAAATCTGAGTTGTTTTCTGTTGATTTTTTTATAAAGATTTATTTTTTTATTGGCTGATTGTTTGCCTAGTTGTATGTTGTACCACATGCATTCCTGGTTCCTGCAGAAAGCAAAAGAATCCTGATTCTGAATCCCCTGAAGCTGGAGTTAGAGATGGTTATAAACCACTGTGTGGGTGCTGGGACTTGACCCCAGACAGTCATTGGCAGTTATCCATGGCAATGGCAGTGAGCACTTGTAACTACTCAGTTAGCACTCCAGCGCCCATTTCCTGATTCCTAATCCTAACTCTTTATGGTACTATTTGTTAACAAATATCATGATGGTCATGGTGTTTAATTATTAAATGATTGAATTTGCAAGCTTTTCTTGTGGTTTATGCCTTTTTTATACTTTGGAGTATTAATAATATTCATATAGCATGTATTAAGCATCGTTCACTTGCTTTTTCTGTGTGCTGAGAAGCAGTGGCAGCTCTTCAGCATTGTTTACTGGGTAGCTGGTCCTTTCCCTTTCAGCTACGCTGTTACAGCTCAGCTGCTTACATGGAAGGGTGTTTCTGGCAGTCAGTTTCCTTTGGCTTGTGTGCTTTTGTGCCTCGTTGCCACACAGTCTTAATCATCAATACTGGGTTTTGATAGGTGTAGGATGTGTGCCCCCCACTTTTGTTCATTTTTGTTTATTCTTAATTCTTTATTGCCATATAGAATACTAAGTCAGCTTGCTAATTCAATTCTGTGTATTTAGTTTTTTTTTTTTTCTCTCCCTTTTTCCTTTATATTTTTAAATGTTGGAGAACAAACTAGGGCCTTGCAAATGCTCAACCAGTGAGCATTTGAAACCCTACACCTATGAGGTTGTCATTGGAATTATATCTGTTTTATCCAGGTCCATATGGGGAGAATTGCAGCTTTCTCTTCATGATCATGAAATGTCTTTCAGTAAAATTACATAATTTTTAATCAGTTACGGTCTTACAAATCTTACCTAGATACCTTTGCCCTTTCTGCATTGATCTTCTATCTAACAGCTTTATATTTTAGATGTTTTTTTCAATGCAGGGTATATAAATGAATTATTTAAATTTTTAGAAAAAATAATATCCAGTTGCTTAAATTAATCAACTATGTTGCCTGTGATGTTGGTCTATTTTTGAGGTGTATTTCGTTGATAAGTTTATACATGAAATACTCATGCCTTAGACTCCAAAACCTATTAGGTTTTAATATTGCCAGATAGAAAACTAGATGATGTTGGGCAGATCAGTGGGATAGCACAACTTATCTTTCTTAATTCAGAGGATTATCTTAATCATATATTAAGATGTTGGGGAAAATCATGTATAAAGGTGTCTTGGTTAGTGTTTCTACATTGCTACAATGACACACCATGACCAAAAAGCAAGTTGGGAAGGAAAGAGTTTATTCAACTTATGCTTCCACAGCATTCTTCATTATCAGAGGAAGTCAGAGTAGGAACTCAAAACAGGTTAGGGACCTAGAGGCAGGAGCTGATGCAGAGGCCATGGACGGGTGCTACTTACTGGCTTGCTCCTCATGACTTGCTCAGCCTGCTTTCTTTTAGAAACCAGGACCACAGCCCAGGGATGGCTCCACTCACAATGGATTGCGCCCTGCCCCAATGGTCATTAATTGAGAAAAATGCCTTACAGCCATATCTTAAGGAAGCATTTTCTCAATTGAGACTCTTTCCTCTCTGATGACTCTAGCTCCTGTCAAATTGACATAAAACCAGCCAGTACAAAAGGTACAGTGTGAAACTGTTATTGTTCCAAATGCTATCCAGCAGTTTACTTATGTATAAGAAAAATGGGGCTGGAGAAATGATTTGGTGACTATACTTCTATTTGGTTCCCTGGACCCACGTTGAGTAGCTGCTTATGTTTCCAGCACCAGGGAATCCAGTGCAAACTTGCTCTTCTGGCCTTTGTGAGTACCCGCATATGTACACTATTATTATTATTATTATTATTATTATTATTATTATTATTATTATTATTAGATTTTTTTCATCCAGGTCCCGGAAGAGCTGGAGGGATTTGCCAGTTTGCTTCCCTTCATGTTTCCACCTTAGTTGCCTGTTCCTTGGAAGGTCTTCGCATAGGGTACTTGAGTAGCATGTCTGTACTGTCTGTAGTGTTTATCAGCCACGTATATGGCCGATTGATTGACAGTACTACGTTAAATGATGTGACCTCTCCCAGGGAAACCATAGTTGCTCAGGCATTATTTAAAATGGAAAATGTACCGGACACCTCTGTATTTTAGTGTAGAATCCAATTCAATTTTGGAAGCAAAATAAGGAGTGAAACACCACATAGAAAGACTCTGTAAAAAAATATGACATTATTAGCTACTGCTTGCTGGGGACTTAGTCCATGTGTGGCTTTTATTGAGACCTTTGTTGGTTCCTAGAGTCATCTGTGATGATGACATTGAGGCCCAGTCCAGTTGGTCTGTACTTGGCTGAGCTAGCATAAACCACTTGAATGCCGCACCCTACAGGCCTTTGCAGAAGGATCCCACATAGGAACCTTCCCAATCAATTTTCACCTGCTGATACAATTGGATCCATTCTAGAAAAATTCATTTTGGGCAAAAGTCTCTTGAGTTTTTAGCTTTGTTATAAAGCCAAGTGCACAAACAAAACCAATGCTTCATATTAAAAAATAATCATGTTTAAGTAATCTAGTTTCTAAGATAAAAGAAGTTATTGTATCTGCTTTTTCTACTTGATGGGAAATGTATAGGTAGAAAAAGAAAAATTGTGAAATTAAATGAGTGAAAGATAGAATTATCTTTCAATTTTGTGTATTCCTTAGCTGATAATGTCTGCATTTGCAGGTAGGTCCGGGTGTTCTGAGTGACAGGCTGTTTGTAAATTGCCCCACAAAGATCCTAACTTTCAAAATGATTGTTAGCCTTAAAAGAAACAGGTAAACAAGCCTATTAGATCACTGGCAGGTCACTCTTTTCTCAAAGGCTGCCAAAATGAGGTTGGACCAGACAGGGTCACAAGGATGCAGGCGCCCTTCTGTGTCCTGAGGAGATGGCTGCAGCCACATGAAAGGCAAACAGATGTCCGAGGACAAGAAAGCCTGGGAGCTTATTAACACGGACTGTTCCACAGACACACGTTTAAGTGGCTCTGAGTCTAGCAAACTTTGAACTGAATTTCTGTGTTTGGAGTGAGGGTGTGTTGGTGTGCCTTCCCTGGATGAAGCACCGTAAAGAACTGCCATCGAGCCTCTTCATGAGGCAGCGCTCCTCTGCCCTGACAGGCTGCATCAGACCCTGGTGTGGTACCCTACACTCCCTTTTCAGGAAATGGCAGGAGCTCAGCGAGAGGACTTTTCAGACTTGTCCAAGGTGATCATTGTATCTGCAGTTCTATTCTTCAACTCTCAGCTCAAGCAAATGTCCATGACCTTGTTTTCTTTCCAGTCTTCATAAAGTTACCTAAAGCATTATTTCAGTGGACAAAGGGGTTTGTTTTCTATGTAAAGTACACAGGTGGGACAGTTCAAGAATCGATCCGTACTCATCAGGCAGAGCGGAGATGGTAGATGTCCAAGTGCAAGAATGGGAAGTGTGGCCAAAGGTCACAGCCAACCCCCAAGAGCAGTTTGATTGGTAGTCTCCACTGCGTGCTCACCATCCCCCACGTTTCTCTTTGGGGTTGCTGGCCTGCAAGACTTCGCTTCCATTGATTGCCCTGCTTTGACTGAAGCAGAAGTGCTAATGAGTAATGCAGTAGCCTAAGGAAGACAGCAGGGAAACAGTGGATGGATTAGTCATCCTGCCCTGAATGATCAGGGGCTTTTAATATCTGTGCTGTTTCTGAATAATGGGGAGTATTTTCCCCCTATCAAAATAAGAATTTTTATCTGACCAATACCGTGTGCATTCTCAGTTTATTTTAGGACTTTTATCTTCTGGAAAGAACATTAATGTTCACTGTCCTCTATAATTAATACATTTGCCAGAACTTTTGCCAAGTTGAAATGAAATAGTTGCATCTGAAAAACCTCTTGCTAGCTCAGGGATAGTGAGTCACTTTTTGTCCTCTGCTGCGTTTTGGCCTTTGATTGTGGGCTGCCAGCTTCCCCAAGACTTGAACGTTTCCTTTTCTCTGATGCTCACTTTCCATTTCCTGTCCTTGTTGGTTTTGTTTGGATCCTTTTATGCTGACTCACAGATCCATGTCTGTGGTCCTCACACCCACTCTGTGTCTCCTGGTCCTGATCTCCAGGTCCCAGTGGCTCACACAGGCTCTATGCCTCAGTCCTTCTTTTTAGGTTCCAGACTTTGTACTATTATATAACCACAGTTTCTTTTTAGTTGTTTTAGTTTTGTTTTGTGACAAGGTTTCACTATTGTATCCTTGTCTGGCCTGGAACTCACTCTGTAGACCAGGCTTGCTTTAGAATCACAGAGCTCCACCTGCCTCTGCCTCCTGAGTCTGGAATTAAAGGCGTTCACCACCACTGGGCAGTCATTGGTCCTTATTCTGTGGCAGCACAAGTCAGAGTCTTAGCCCTCTCATGATACCTGGTCTTTGCCGGCTTCTTCATCCAGCCCTCATCTATGGGTGCTGCTGACCAGAGTGGCCTCTGCCCCTTTCACCTTTAATACACTTACTGTGCTGAAATTACAGCAAGGTTTTCCTTCAGAATGTGAGCCCAGCTATGCCAGACCTCCTCAGGGCCAAAGGAGAAACAACTCCATCTTCTCTGGCTGTATGGCCTACATGGCTGACTACCTCCTTGCCCTTGACTCACCATTTCCTTTTCCCTGGCTCTGCATGCTCATCTGGATTGTTATAGTTGACTGCCAGGTGATCTTTTTGTCAACAGACATCACTCCTTGCCCTGCCCCCCCCCCAGCTTTTTTGGCTCATAACAGGCACTATAATCTCACCTTTATTCCTTTTGAGCCCATACTTACCTGTACTGGTGTGTGTGGCTTCAGCACTCCATTCTTCTGCTCACTTCTGTCTCCTACATAAATCTTCAAGTCCATCTTAGTACCCTACTAGTGTTTGCCTTCTGTGGCTCTTCACTTGTTCCTAGCACCTGAAAGAGCTGTCTGTTCATCTTAATGAAATAAAAATGGACTGACTTTCCCAGCTAGCTTAAAACCCGTATCCGCTAACTTTTATTTTTACAGCAGTCCCCTTTACCTGAAGAGGATCTATGTTTTACTACTCCATTAGATGCCTGAAACCAAATAGTAGTGAGCCCTCCATATGCTGTCCCCCTTTTACCTTTTCAGTTAAGGGAAGCCGCCTGTTACTTACTTTTAGCAAATCTGAATTGTCAACATCTCCACTCAGGCACTTTGGAACCATTAGCAAGGAAAATAGGCATTACTTGACAGCAGCCACCATGATACTGTGACATTTGACCTAATAACCGAAACAGCTGCTAAGTGATGAACAGGCAAGCGTCATATCCAGTATGGATGTTCTGCACAGAGGGTTCTTGACTCATAGGCTGGGTGGGGCTGGGTGAGAGAGCATCATGCTACTTAAAAGGTCCTCAGTGTCAGACTTTGTCTTTGACTTTCCCCTGTACTGTCCTTGGGCCACAGTTGGCTATAGGTACCTGCAACCACAGATTACCGACATGGTGGCATTAGGCTGTGCGTATTGTCCTTTTTGGGTTAACTAAATCTTGCAGTGTGGTCTCTCTTGTACGCTTTTCTGTCAATTTTCCAGGAATTTCAAGTCTTCTAGGTTTCTTACGCTTATTTTTAGTAAACATACTATTTCCTGTTAACGTAAGCAGATAACTATTGATTACTCAATTGAAAACTTTGATAACTCCTTTTAAGCATCTGTTTTGGAATACTTAAGACTTATGTCATTTTTTTTTTTTTCCCTAGAAGGTCGTTTTTTAAGACAACATTCAGCTTCATGAATCTGAAGAACTTTGACCATTCCAAGTCTTAACGCCACACCACTACTCCAACAAATTTGTGCTTCAACTGGTAACTGACCAGAAGCCTGAAGAATTAAATGCCAACAGCAAACCTTACCTTAACAGCTCTGGTCTATACTGTCCCCATACATTTCTAATATACTGTTTGTTTTATAACCACTTCTAAATACTCTTTCTTCCCCTTCGCTTTCTTTCTTTCTTTTAATTTTTTTTAATTCTTTGGGTTTGTTTGTTTTTGTTTTTGTTTTTGTTTTTTTGTTAAGGGTTTTGTATTTGTTTCCCTTTCCTGCCTGCTTTTTTTATGACTCATTTGCTCAAATGACAGTGAACAAAGCCAGCCCAGGCTGGTAAGGTGCTGTTCACTTGAACAGGTGCTGTTATGTGGAAAGGAAACTCTGTGACTAATTTAGATAGAGATTTTCATTCTTCAAGATTGTTTCCATTGAATTCTTACAGTCAATATTTACAGTTTTCAGATTGCAGTTAAGTATACTGCATGAGATCATATTAATACCAATTAAAAGCATTTCTTACATCTTGAAATTTTTCTAATGTTTGGGCATTTCACTACAGATGGTTTTTATATCGATCCCTTTGACTTTCCAGTCCTGTGACTTTGTACTTGGTAGAGTCAGAGACTCTCCGGACTGGAGAATTACGAAGCTCACTGACCACGCACTGTGTTGAGAGACACGGCCCCACAGTGTAGTACTTCTCAGACATATGCTTTGCCACAGCGCTCCAGAGCAGGAGGAGATGCAGGGAATGTGCCCTTCCCTTTTACCACTAAAAGAGAACCAGGCAGCTTCAAGCCATAGTGCTTGCTTTCTTATCCTTCCCAATCTCAGTATCTCCCGTTGTCTGAACACTTGAGCAGAGCACTTGCTTTGTATGAAACTTCCTGTCTCCATGTAAAACTGACCTTTGTTACCAATGAGGTGTATCACTGAGATAGTTTGATGACTCACAGGTTTGAAGATGCTGGGGAGAAGAGGGTAGGGACAGTGGTGAGGATGTTGTTGGTTGTAAGAAAGCGATACCATGTAAAGCTGACACAGAGACCTGATAGGGCTTATTAACTGTATTGAACATTTTTCTCATTTGCTTTTGACTCTATGTATAGTTATGATGCCAGATTAGATTTATAGCAGCTTCAAGTTGTATTAAATGATATTTTGCTTTATGTAATACTGTTATAAAATAAAAGTTTGTTTATTCTATAAACGTGTCACTTCTCTTTTCATAAACATTAAATAAACTGAAGTGCTATTTTTCCATCAGGAAATCTAGTCTTTTGCAAAACTACTAATATTTAAAAATAATAAAAAAGAATCGCATTTTAAGAGTCGTTAAGTTGTTACTTCTGTCAGCATCAGTTATCTGACATGGTGGAAGTTGTGGAATTCTTTGCACCTGGTTAAATGGTGCTCCTGGTTGGTTTGAATTGGGCAAGATAGATGTGTCTTCTCCCTGTGCGCTTTCAGGGAGTACTTCAGCTGCACCGTTTGTGCCTTGCGGCTGTGCTTCGTGTCCTACTTGATTTTATGTCCGCTGTGTGTGCACGTAGCAGATGGAGCACGCTGCTGAGGGATTGCATCGAAGTGGGATTGAAACGGCTTGCTGGAAGCTTTCACCACAGCATACCACATTATGGGCTTAGTCTTTTAAATATTATATAGAAAAATGGTCAACAGAGTACAATCATCTTGAAATGTGATATAGAATTTCTTTATGTAGTCATTTAAAATGAGCACAGGAAATATAATTTGCAAAACTGTCTTCTTTGAGATCTGTTCCACTAAATTATCTCCCAACTTGTGAAAGGCCTTTCTCACGTTCTCTATAATTGTAAAAACAACTATGGAGGAAGCCTGTCTCCGCTAGCCAAGCCTTGGGGATATTATGAGACCAAATGTGCTTTCCATGACAAAGTTAGTATGTGTGGATCCCATTTAAAAAGTATCGATTGGTCTTCCTCTGGCAGTGATGGAGAAGAATTCTTATGTATGTGTGTCCATAGCAATGGTGGAAAGTGTCTCTACAGCACCCATGGGCAAGGCAGTACAGTCAGTCCATGGGCTCTGTTTTATTCTGCTGAGGCAGCACGAACAGGGATCCCGGAGCAGCCTGGAACATTTTAGAGAAGCAGAGTCCAAAGAACCACTTGGAGCAATATTGCTAATTACCCTTTTCGGGAGCATCAATAAAGACTGTCTTCTTAAACACTTGGTGCTTCTTACTAAAGGCATCCTCAGAATGTCTTCATCTTGTCACTTGGTAAACTCGGCCAAGTGGCAGGGTAAGTAGGAAGGTGGATCAGAGTTTCAGGAGGCAAATTTGGGGTTTTTAAGTAGAACATCTTTACATCCTTGGTCTTCATAGTTGTAAATAAAAATCTTAGTGTGCTTCCTTCTCCGTTCACTTCAGACCGTTCATGCTAGGACCTGCACCGTAACCTACCAACAATAATTCAGGACCTAAAGGAGGGGAGTTTGTTGTGTCTTACTGGCTCATAGGTTCCAGTCCATCACAGTTTGGGAGGCACAGGGAGCAGGTGGCAGAATCATCTAACACACAAAATAGGAAGCAGAACATGCAGGGCAGGGGCCATAAACAGGTATAACTTTCAAAGCCCCACCTATACTGTTCCACTTCTGCCAACCAGGGCCTGCCTCCTAAAGGCTCTACCCATAGCCTCAAGATAAAATTGGGGGCCGAGTGCTGAACACAGGAACTGTGGGGGATATTGGAAATTCAAGCACAGTCTTTCAGAGCATGCTTTGAAAGGTTCACTCTGAAGTGTGTTTAACGTTTCCAATTTCTGACATGTAAATTCTGACTTCTGAGATACACTTTTGCCAGAAAGCTTAGGATTTCAAGAAAAATTTGTTGTCGACTATCCCATTGCTACCAGAAAGCACTGAAATCCTTAGATTAGTTACTACCTATGGCTAAGAGATTGCGAATACTGTCTTGGAGGACATGAATTGTACACCTCCATAGCTACCAGCTAGATGCGAGATGTGGAGTGGCCATTTTGGGAAGTCTTTGAAGGACCATCTTGGGCAACACCAAACTACCAAGTTACCAATGCAGCCTTAAAGCTGGGTGTGGTGATATTTACCCGCAGTCCTGGCACTTCATGGGACTGAGGCAGAAAGATGATGAGTTCAAAGCCATCCTCTGTGATTTCTAGACCACATACATAAAGAGAGCTTGCCTCCCCCCCCCCAACACACACAGAAAAAGCTTTCGTAGCTCTATAACAATTTGTAGTTATTTCCATTGACTACTAAGAGCCATGTGAAGGTCTTTGTAAAGTGCCCGTTGTAGTGTTCTATTGAAGGAGTGGAGCTAGAAACATTTAAACCTCTGCTGGATAAATCTCTTAGATAGTAGAAGGTAGCGTGAGCGACAAGATTGGGGGTGGGGAACAGGTGATTAGGAGCTGCTGTGGTGAAAAGTTCAGGGTTGTGGGAACAGATGTGGCTCCCTGGGGAGAGGGTGGGCTGGGATTGACTAGAGTGCCGGAAGGAGGCTGTGGCCTGGGCTAGAAGCTAGTGGAGGCATTGATGACCCAATGAGGTCTAACCTGACAGTTGTGCATTCGAAGAGCAAAGGTGGGACTCTGCAGCTGCTGACTGGCCTTGACAGCAGATTTGGTAAAGTTCTTAGTGGGGTCTTCACTGAGTCGTTAATGACACCCTTGAGACTTTCCTTGACACACGGCTAACATGAATGTCCTTAGAAAAACACATGCATCCAGTTTTGTCAATTCTTTGCTCTTGCTGTGTTCAGCAACACAAAGCCATTCTTTAATAATGTGTTTTATGCTTACTGTACAAAACACGCATGTTCCAAGCTCATCTGTTAGCATGGCAGTCAGGCCTCCACCAGAGCCCAAGCTCAGACTTCTGAAGTTCCTGTTTCTGGGGAAGAGGGAGGACACCGATGCTCAGCCATGGGACTCTGCCATGTCCTTTCACACTGCCTTCCACTACAGGGGCTAAAAGGAGATCCTTCCCAGAACAGAAAGAATTGTGTTATTTCTTCCATATGGCATGAACACTTAGAAATTACCCAACTCTTGGAGGCCCAGCGCACATTCTCCATAGAATTGAGTGCTGTTAAAGTGGAGAAAATAGTGCTTTCAGTTGAACTGAGAGCCAACAGAAAGCTCACTGGAAGACTGAAGAATTCCAGGGTTCGGCTGAAAGGAGAAAGCAGGAAATACCAGGATGCAGTGAGACATTCTGGCTTTTGATCAAGACATTCTGGCTTTTGATCATTACAGTCTTGGATGACTGTCACTACCAAAATTGGTGAGAAAAAAAAGACCACACTGGCTGTTTCATAAAACCACTCAAAGAACCATGGAATCATGTGCAAAGGTTGGAATTTAGCTAGACTTGGGGAGTGCTGAACGTTTTGTTGCCATTAACTAGAAAAATAGGGAGAGCTCAGTAAGCATAATTATCTGCCAGCATGAATTAAATGGTCCTTTTTCTGTTATGTTCTTTAGAGCCAACGAAATGGTAACAGTTCTGCTAGTGAATCGTTGACTTTCTATTTAGAAACAGTTCCTAGTGTTTGGGTTTTACTAAAAAACAAACAAACAAAAAACCTTGAATTATTCTGGGGGATTGATGCACATTTGGCTTCCTTCCGCAGGTATCACCTTATTGATATCGCCATCGTGCGGAGAGCCATGTTGGTGAGCGACCAATATGCTGAGATTTCACTTGTTGGCTGCAGCCTGCCACAGAGACGGCTTAAGAAAGCAGTTGGGAGAAGGAGAGACACAAAGTCGGGCCTTGAGTGCTGTCTGAAAGTCCCATATTTCAGACTGGCTAGAGGGCCAAATGGAAGGACTCTTGTAAAGGGAGAGCATCTGAAGGGCTCCCCTCAAGGCATCCACCATCTTCTGCTCTTTGTTTGATTTCTCTCAGGGTTTCCTTACTCTTAAAGGGAAAATTATAGAGTGATATGATGAGATCTAGGAATTTTATTTTAAAAATAGTCCCTCTAAAGTAAATAAGCAGTCACAATAAAGGATGCTCATGCTGCGCCCGATGCATTGAGCATATTACAGAAAAGCTTAAGGTCCTGGTACTTTCTGAGGGAGTGCCATTAGTGCTGGATCACACACAAGTCCTCTGATAGCAGCTGACGCATTCACTGTTCTTTCTCCTTTCCCTGGGGTTCTGTCCACCATTGCTCCACAACCTTTAGAAATTCATGGTGCTTTGTCCGCTGAGTGATCCCAATGCTCACCTTTGTCTCATTCTTCTATGTAGGGAAGAACCATACTTGTTCTGGCGAGTGGAAATCTGGGTTGATTCTTCATCAACTGAAAGGGAAAACATTGGTTAATCCAGAGGCAACAGTGCCTTGAACCTCTTGTACTATTTGAAGCTACTGGCCAGTATTTGGGACTGGCTACCCTGTGGGTTACAGAAGACCATGTCCCTGTTGCAGGATCTCTCCTCTTCAGCTTCCTTAAAAATATTACCTTATTCTCTGTGTGTCTGTCTGTCGGTCTCTGGCTCTCTCTCTCTCTCTCTCTCTCTCTCTCTCTCTCTCTTTGTGTAACCATGAATATGGTATGATATATGTTGAGTCAGAGGGCAGCTTGGATGAGTCTGTTCTCACCTTCAACCATTTGGGTCCCAAGGACCGATCTCAGGTCATCAGGCTTGGTGGCAAGAACCTTTACACACTGACCCCTCTCTCTGGCCCTCCTCAGTCACTTCTGAAGAACGTCCCCAGTTAGGATGGATGGCCACTGTATTAAAGATCATAAACATGCAAGTATCTTATTTAGCAGACATTTGGATTTTCATATTCAGTAAACCTCCATCAGTCATGGGTGTCGGCAGGAATTGGGGATACAGGAATTAGAAAAACAAGGTTTCTGTCCTTTCCCCTTTCCCAAAAGACACTTGGAACGATGTCATCCTTAGACAAGTCGCCTCCTCTGTTTTACCATTGGACATTAAGCTTTTAGCATCTTGTCCTGGCAATTCTTTCAACTTCTCAGAGACTATGACTTCCTTAATGTCTTAAAAACATTACATTAGCTAAAACGGCTCTGCTAAAATAATAAAAATCTTAGTGGTTCCCTACTTAACTCTTATTTAGTAAAGCTAGTGGCATTCCCTGATCCTCAGTTTTCTCTCTCTAGCATCCACACAGCCCCCCCCCCCCCCCCCCCACTGCCATCACTGGCCCACTCCCACCTGCTTCCCTTCATCCAGCCTTTCCACTGCTCATGTGTCTTCAGCTAGGATGTCTGTCAGTAACCAAATTCGGTTTTAACTTTTGAGATCTCTATTAAGGTCTAAATATACATCCTGTAGATGCCCCTGGTACCTCACCACCACCACCACCAAACAAAACCAAAACAAACAACACTTGTTCCTGACAGCCACCCACATTGATGCCTAATGCCATGCTTATGGAACTGACCTTGACAATATTCTTGGTACTCACATCAAGCTACGCCATCAACCCACTGTCTTGCACCTGAAAAACATTTCTTACCTGGCTCAGATCCTGCCAAGACCCCACATTATCACCCTTAGGGAATGCTCTATATTCTTAGGTGAGAACATGCCCCAGGATACTCACCCACAATACTATTTAATAGTCAATATTTGCTCAGCAGTTAAGTACCAGATACACTGTGAAGTTTGCATGTGTTCACTTGTCTAATTCTTGTGGTGACATAAATTGGTCACTTCTTGGTTTGTGGGAGAAAGACCGTGATGAAAAAGTGTTCCCCAAGATTATAGAAATGAATGGATTCAGGGTTTGGTACCGGGCTGCCTGACCTTAAGAGTCCACACTTTCAGCCACTGGCTTATACTGCTTTTCCACATAGATTAGGTCCTATTTCAAAGATAGTCTTTGAGATGACGTCTCACACAGCTTATAAACTCATTGAAATAGGAGTGATTTCTTCTCCAACTGCATAAGAAGTGTGTTAAAGGAGGGACTACAGTATACATCACAGAGCTGAAAGTGGGAGCCTGCATAAGAGACAGAAGGGAGGGAGCTGAAAGAACGGACAGAGGATGAGGGAAGAATTGCTGAGTGAGTTGTAGTTTAGTCCCAGCCAGGGACTAAACTCTCCACCACAGGCCCTCTGCAGAGAAAAGAACTGGTGTCATTTACCTCTCTCCAGAAAGAGCTTGCAATTGTGCTATCATTTTAATCCCTCGAGTCTACTAAGGAGGCTATGTAGAGAGAAATCAAGCAGGTGGCTTTCAAAACATCCAAGTTTCTTATGGAAAATTCTGGAAGCAATAAGGATTTTCTCTGTTGGGCCATGACTGAAGATTCTCCCCAGTTAGCCGGGCATAGTGGCATGTACCTTTATTCCCAGGATACAGGGAGGCAGAGTCAGGCAGAGCTCTGTGCGTTCAAGGCCAGCTTGGTCTACAGTACAGAGCAAGTCCAAGACAGCCAAGGCAACACAGAAACCCTGTCTTGAAAAAAAGAAAGAGAGAGTGAGAGAGGGAGGGAGGGAGGAAGGAAGGAAGGAAGGAAGGAAGGAAGGAAGGAAGGAAGGAAGGAAGGAAGGAAGAAAATATAATAATCCCCCTGGCTCGGAATAGATGTTTATGTCGAAGAATTGCTATCATTGGGAATAATCTATATTTCTTTTATATTAAAAGATCAGTTGACACAAAGCTTCTGTAAACATTCTTCCCTTATTTAGAGATTTACCACAGCTGCCTTTTGACTTGGTAGTAAATTTATTTGCCTGGTCCCAAAAAGCCGAGCCATGACATGCTTGATTGTGTGTAGGTAAGAAGGCTAGCTTTGGAGCCAGGCAGTTGCGGCTCATCTCTATTGCTATCCAGGCGAGTCACCTGGGGTAGCGTCATTATTCTAAGACAGTTTTGATGATATCTATAATGACACAAAGGCTGATATCTTGGGACTTGTAAGCCAGCGGTCCCGATAGTAGTTTGCCTTTTGTTCAGAATGGGGATTGTTTGGAACACATCTGTAGCAGCTAATTCCTGTAGCTGAGCCCTGCTATTATCATTCCCGTTTCACAGATGAGGAAGCTGAAGCTCTTGAAGACTGAGTAGAGGCAACTTATTCCAGACTCAAGTGCTAATTGGTTTGGCTCCATCGTCAGGGGACTTAACAACTTCACTCTGCTAACTCAAGTCACTTTACTCTTCCCAAAGAACTAAAACACATGCATGAGGTTGGGTGAAAGAGGGTTCAGCCACACTCTTTAAAAAAAAAAAAAAAAAAACATCGTTTGCTCTATAATGTACAGGTTGCTGAAGGCCACACCCTTATCAGTTGTTGGCTTCACTTACTTTATATCTAACTAAACATTTGGACATTCAGCAGATACACTGTAACGAAGGGACTGCTTTTGATACTGTTGGGTATTTTTAGAGTCTGATTTGTTCTTGATTGTGGTGATGATTATTTGGAAGATGGGTGATGCCAGAGGTAGAGGTTCTGGAGTATTGGAGAGAAACAAAAATCACAACGTGCATCTTAGGATATGTAAAATATCCATGGCAGTGGGTGACAGAGGATTTGGTTGTTTCTGGAGAATTTTGAGACTCAGCCCTCCACCCCAAGAGCTGTTCCTCGAAGCGACTGACAGACAAGATAGGGTATGCAGGAAGTTAGAGAATTTTCCTTCTTCCTTTGTGAGAAAATTGATGTTCCCTACATGCTAATTAAGTTTCCACGCACCATTACCTCTAGGGTTGGAAGAGTCGGGATAAATGTTGAAGGACAGCCCCCACTCACTTCCCATCATATCCTGAAGTCCTGCCTTTGTCCAACAGTCTAGGAAACACACAAGCTGCTTTCTGTTCTAGAATGTAGGACTCCAGTGTTCTGTGAGCACACCAGTCAGCCTCTTTATAGAAACAAAACGGGAATGATTACGTTTGTAGCTCTGGGTAGAAGGCTGACTATATGACTTTATCCATACATTTACAATTTTGAAGTGGACGCTGCTAAACAGACATGCAAAGTGGTGATGTTTTAATCTGGGGCCAAAGAATATAATTTACCCTTTAACTGGAGAGGGGGTAATCCTGCACAACCTCGGGGAAGGGACCGTAGAAAGGACTACGGCTCTTAAGCAACAAGTCGTGGATGAACTTTTGTCATGTTCAGTGCCTGATACACAGATGTGTTCCACTATCACAAATGCTGCTTCTACAGCCTCTGTCCTGCCTCCTTCCCTGCCTTGCCTGTGGCCTGGACATGCTTTACTGAGAGCCAGCAGAAGAAGTTGACAATGGAGAAGGTGGCAGAGTCCATCACTGGGAGTGTCCCTTAGGTGTTTAGAGGAGAGGAACAGGTCTCGGCTTTGACATTAAAGTGAAAGATCAGGGTCCAGCCTTAACTTGTCCTGAGACCAAGATTAGAAACACACAGATTAATATATCCAATGTTAGATTATTTTTTCAATGCAATTTTTTTTTCGTTTTAAATGTAAGGGAAGGGTACAGAACCTTACATTTAGATTTCTTGAGCCCAGAAATCTATAGGGAAAGTTTGTCCCAGTGCCTGGGAAAGCCATAATACCTAACAGTGCTGTAATTTACTTGCCACCAAAACACTGAAATTGCACCCCCATTGTGAGGGTCTAGGACCAGATGGGCGTTTAAGAACAGAACTGGAAAGGATAGGAGCTCCACAAGGACCAAAGATATCTGGGCACAGGGTCTTTTCTGAGACTGACATGCAACCAAGGACCATGTATGAATGTAACCCAGAACCTCTGCTCAGATGTAGCCTGTGGTAGCTCAGTAACCAATTGGTTTCCCATAGTGAGGGGAAGAAGGACTATTTCTAACAGGAACTCAATGGCTGGCTCTTTGGCCTCCCCACCCCCCAAGGGAGGAGCAGTCCTGTTAGGCCACAGAGGAGAGCTTTGCAGCCAGTCCTGAAGATACCTGATAAAACAGGATCAGATGAATGGGGAGGAGGTCCCCCCTATCAGTAGACTTGGCAAGGGGCAGGGTGGAGATGAGGGAGGGAGGGAGGGACTGGGAGGGAATGAGGGATCGGGACACAGCTGGGATACAGAGTTAATAAAATGTAACTGATAAGAAAAAAAATAAAATACAAAAAAAAAAAAAGAACAGAACTGCATTCTCTTGAATAGATCAATCAATCATGAGAGTGTGTTATCTAAAAATAATAATTTGAATCTGTCTTTTAGGTGAAGCCCTGTTACTGTGTGCTGCCTCAGGACCTCACTCGTGGGGCCATTTGAGCTTGGACGCCCTAGTCTTCAGAACTATAAGAAATAAGTTTCATTTTTAAAAACACTCAGTGTGTGTGGTGTTCACTTGAGGCAGAAAACTACCTCAAGTAGATTCACAAATGTGCGTCAGATGACTGACAACCTGTCACCATGGAGACGTAAGATGTGAGCTTGGAGCAAGTGTTGGCGATGTTGAAAGGACTGCACCCACGGACTGGCACTCACGGTGGGAGGCTTCCAGTGCGACTGCCCCTGCGTTCGGTCTTAGGTTGCAAAGCGGGAAAGCTTTGAGGGGGAAGGAACAGATCTGTGGCCTGAGAAAACCCTGAGTTAGGACAAGTTCCTATACCATTTGGAGGGGGAAAGGGAGAAGGAAGGGGGAAGACGGGTTAGTTGTTCTTTTCCCTCCACTCATATCTTCAGCAGCACCTCCCAGTCTGCTGTTGAGCTGCAAATGTAGTGATATAGTACACACACACACACACACACACACACACACACACACACGTGTAGTTCTGGTGACTTGCTCTCCAGAAGCTTACCTAGGTAGGCATCTGCGTGTGTGTGTGTGTGTGTGTGTGTGTGTGTGTGTGTGTGTGTGTGTGTAATTATTGTGCCTTGATCTCCAGACAGCTTGCCTAGGCAGGCACGTACTTGGGACAGATGGAGCTCACCATGCAGCACCCACAGAGCTATGTACACATTGGGCAGCTCTGAGCTCAGCAGTGTGGTCAATAGCACTTGTCCTGGCTTGTTTGTATGTCAACTTGACACAAGCTAGAGTCGTCTGAGAGGAGGGAACCTCAACTGAGGAAGTGCTTCCAGAAGATTGGACTGTAGGCAAGCCTGTAGGGCAGCGGTTCTCAAACTGTGGGTCGAGACCCCTTTGGGGGTCAACCAACCCTCTCACAGGGGTTGCAGATCAGATATCCTGCACATCAGATACTTACACTATGATTCATAATAGCAGAGAAATTGCCGTTATGAAGTAGCTGCTGTAGGGAATTTTCTTAACCAGTGCTTGATGGAGGAGGGCCCAGCCCACTGTGGGTAGTGTCACCCCTGGGCTGGTGGTTCTGGGATCAATCCTTACTTAGAAAGACAAATGGGATGGACATTGGAAGTAGGAGAAAACAAGAAACAAGACAGGAGCCTACTACAGAGGGCCTCTGAAAGACTCTACCTAGCAGGGTATCAACGCAGATGCTGAGACTCATAACCAAATCTTGGGCAGAGTGCAGGGAGATAGAAAGACTGGAGGGGACAAGAGCTCCTCAAGGATCAAATATATCAGGGCACAGGGGTCTTTTATGAGACTGATTCTCCAACCAAGGACCATGCATAGATATAACCTAGAACCCCTACTCAAATGGAGCCCATGGTAGCTCAGTATTCAAGTGGGTTCCCTAGTAAGGGGAACAGGGACTGTTTCTGACATGAACTCAGTGGCTGGCTCTTTGACCTCCCCACCCCCGAGGGAGGAGCAGCCTTGCTAGACCACAGAGGAGGACATTGCAGCCAGTCCTGAAGAGACCTGATAAACTAACGTCAGATGGAAGGGGAGGAAGACCTCCCTATCAGTGGATTTAGAGAGGGGCAGGGAGGAGATGAGGGAGGGAGGGTGGAATTGGGAGGGAATGAGGAAGGGGGCTACAACTGGGATACAAGTCCTTGGCTGACACCTACTCTTCTACTTCCCAGTTAGAATGGAAACCCGGGGCTTCTGTGCCTGGCAGTGGTCACTGTAGCAAGTGTGAGGGGCCTTCTACATGGAAATGTTTGTATCCCCATGCAGTGAGCCAGTGAGCATGACTGGAGGAATACCGATGTGAGGGTTTGAGAGTCCTGATTTTCGGTTCCTTCTTTGCTTTGGAATTTTTCTGAGGTTTGGGAATTTTTTTTAAATTTTTTTTTCTTCACAACTTATTCATTAGATATCCTGATGAAGCCCCTTCCCTTAATTCCCCCAGTCCCATCCTCCCTCCTTCTTCCCCCCCATCCCCTTCCCCTAGTCCACTGAAAGGGAGAATTCTCCACTATTGCCATCTGCCCGGAGCTTGTTAAGTCTCATCAGAACTGCCTGAACCCTCTTTCTCCGTGGCCTGGCAAGGCTGCATCATCAGGAGCGAGCGATCAGAGAGCAGTCAACTGAGTGTAGCATTTCAGGAAGACTGATCTTGGGGACGGGGAATGTGTTTGGTTTAATAAAGAAAGGGATTTCCTGCATGGGTCCCTTAATCACCCTGCATGAGAGCTGGTCATAAAAATGAGACACAAAAATGCAAGGCTATACCAGTAGTTCTCAACCTGCGGGTAGTGACCCCCTTTGGGGTCAGCCTGCCCTCTCACAGGGGTCACCAAGGACTATCAGAAAGCACAGATGTTTACATTATGACTCTTAACGGTAGCAGAACTACAGTTATGCAGTAGCAGTGAAAATTATTCTATGATTGGGATAACCGCAACACGAGGGACCGTATTAAAGGATCGTAGTGTCAGGACTGAGAACAGCACCATTCTGTAAGGTAGTCTCTGTCCTCTAGGAGGTCCCTGTGTCTACGTCTCATCTCTGAGTGTCGCTAGCTGTTCTGCTGTGGGCAGCTGTTGTCTGTGATTACTTAATGGCTTGCAGGAAGGAAGGCATTGCTTGAACTTGGCAAGGTTTTGTAGACGAGCAGGGACTTTCCATTCGCTTTGTCTTAGGACAGGGTCTCATGCTGTAGCAAGCGTCCTGCCTCTGCTCCCTGAGTGTCAGAACTGCAGCTGTGCGCAGCCAAGGCCAGCTTTCATGTTTGTTTGTTCAGTAGTTTAATATGAAACCACCCAAATTAAGAATCGGGTTGAATTCTAGCGTTATTACTAAAATAAGCATTAACCTTCATAGCATCTAATATTTACTTAGAACCAAATCGACATGTCACCTCTCAAAACACAGCCCAGCTCCTTTAATTTCTATTCTACCGGAGCAAAGAATCTTAACCCAGGACTCTAATGTCCATTGCCGATCACCTTAAGCACTGAGTGTATTTTGTCTTTTTTTTTTTTTTTTTTTTTTTTCAACAATACCATGGTTTTATGGGAAGTTTCTGCTGCGGTCCAGTATCCAGTATTGTGCATTGTCTAAACACCGACAGTGCAACACTTGGAAGTTTCATGGGTGAAAAACGTACATATCATGCATATGTACATGATCATTGGTATACACACGTGTACAGAGCCATGCACGGGGCGGGGGGGGGTGTACTATGACACTGTCTTGACCTGCTCTGTGTCTCATTTCCTGTTTGATACATTCATGAGGTTTTGAAATTTTGTCTTGTCAAAGAAGCTGCAGAGATACGATCTGTGGGTTGTACAATGGAGTTTCCAACTGGGACATCTAATCTAAATTCTTTAACTTCTCCCACTGACCCAGTTGTCTTTACGAGGGCTATGACACACACACACACATACACCACACACACACACACACACACACGCTGGTCCATAGGGGATACATACAGAGCGCCAACAGTGTAATACTTGTGAATCTGTTGCCTTAGGAGATAAAACAAGCAACCCTATGTCCAATTTGCTGACTCAAGGCTGACTGCGTACAAGGAACAACAGAGAAAGAGTCCCTATAGCATGCAGACAGACCCTGCCTCCCTCACAACGTAGAGCTGAAAGTACCAAACTTTGCCTGATCCATCAAGGATCTTAAGGGGAGACTGGGGACAAATAGCCGTCCATCGAAAGGCTGTATTTCTCCAGCTTCCCAGAGCACCTGAAGACTTTGGTGTGTTTCAAGGACTAACCCTTCTTTGTGGGGCTTCCCACTTACCCTCCATCAGTTTGATCCTGAAGTAGGCAATCAGGAGGAAAAGCAGCAAAGACACAGGCAGGAAGATCCCCAGGATTAGGAATGGGCCGGGGAGTTCCTGCAAGAAGATCGAAAGCACTGAGCTCATGGCCCCACACAGCCGGGCTGGTGCAGGATCCTCGCTCAGTGCAGGCCACTCGCTCCTGGCCTGTGGTAGTGCTTTCCTGGTGTGCTGGCCTTTGCCCTGCCCTTCTCCATGAAACCTGTTGTGGACTTTGCTCTAGCTTATTAGTGGGGTGAATTCTGGAGCAACCTGTGGTCAGGTTACTCTGTAACCCAGCTACAGGGTGTAGGAGAACGGAAGAGGAAATCTCCCAAACTATCCTGGAGATGAGTATTTGTCTGGCAGGAGTTGGGATGATCCTGATAAACTGAGATTAAGTGTCTGACTTCAAGCAAACCTGCCTCTTACTGTGTGTTCTTCGTCATATAGTCCCAGACCCAGAAAGAACTTTTACTCTACTTTCCAAGTTTCAGAGCTAAAAATGACTTTAATGGTCTCATACTAATGTGCACAGTTAATGTAGCAGATACTGAGAAACAAACAAACAAACAAACAAACCAACAAAACAACATACTTGCCACATGTGAAAACTGCCTGGTTGGTCCCGCTCTGAGTATTTCTCTGGAAGTTGCGTTTATTTATTTATTTAGAATAATTTAATTCTACTAGAGCCTAACCTTTGGTCTGCAAGTCGGGTAAAGAAAGCAAAGGTCACGGCCCCGCCTCTTCCAGTCTAGGACGACACAGATAACAGCCACAAACGTGTGGCAACATGGATGTCAGCAGGGCCTCTTCCTGGCCGCTGTAGGTCACAGTCAGGCCTGCTGTCCGCTCACACTTGCCTTGGGCCTGAATGCAGGATGTTATGACAAGTCAGGACTTCTGGGGTAAGAAAGGGCAATAAACTGGCAAATGTCAAGGTTCACACTGATCTGTTGACTACCTTTGATCTGCCTTGTATCAGTTTAGTGGCAAATTTCCAAAGACGCCGGACTGCTAAGGCCAATTAAAAGACTCATTTCTTTATTCAGAAGATCTCTAGAGACCTGGGAAAAGTCTGAGGGAGATTGGCAGCCACGTTCGGGGCTTTATTCCTGGCGTGTATTCTCTCTGTCCCTCCCTACAGGCTGCTGCTGGCTGGCAGCATCATGGATTTCACTGTAAAGGAGTGCTGTCAGCAACCCCTCCATTCTCCTGGGACCTAGTGTGGCCATGCAGTCAGTCTCAGCTGTGAACTCACTTAAAAACTCAACTGGAGAGGTTGAGTGTGGGCTTTCTGTTGAGACGGCTCTTTGGTGCTCTTTAGGCTGAGCCAGGATGCTAATTCATAAAGTGTCACTCTTCAAGGGACCTGCATGAGCTGGAGACATACAGGTTTGAAGTTAGGTGGCTGCCAGGATGGCTGTTCTATGTTGCTCCATTCAGCAAGACTTACCTGAATGCCTAGACTTAGCTGAGCGTGGAGAAGAGGCAGGCGTGAATAACAACACTGTCAGCTGCAAGTCCATGTAGAAGCAAAGCTCTGGGGTGGGACCGACTAAATCCCACAGGGGACTGAGCTGAGTTTCTGAAAAAGATAACATTGTCTAGACCCTGGATAGCCGAAGCACTCAAGCCAGAAGCCTGTCAGGTTTGCAGAAGGCAAAGAGTTGACAGCGGCAGTAAGACAGAGCATGTTAGCCATTGAATCTGGGGGAAGAAGTCTCGAGCTTACAGACTCTTGACAGCCCTGCTCAGGACAGTGCTATCGGACAAAGGAGATCCACCAAAGGTCTTTGGCAGTAGACTTGCACGGGTTTAGGCAGTATTTGACAACCCTTTAAGGAACAGATGGAGAGATGACAATGGCTTAGCAAGTCTCAGTGTGGACTCAACATGCAATGGATATGAGCCAGAAGACCACAGAGGGGAAGGGAGGGAGAGAGACAGGGAGATACGAACAGTCCTCAGTGAAAAACTGAGCGGCTAGAGGTAGATTTCACCAGGACTTCTGATAGTCACAGTATCTACTTTACGTCTGACTGAACACAAACATTTCGTGTTTATGATCTCTTTTAATTTTCATGATAAATATATAAAGAAGAACTTCACTTTACAGCTAAAGAAACAAGGGCAAAGGCTTGCCCATGATACATCCTTGGTAAACTCCAAAGCTAGGGTTTCCATCAGAGAACGTGGTCTCATTGATAATGTTGTGTGTGGCTCCTGAGATGGTGGTGGCCAGGAGATAGCACTGGTATAATCTTAGACCCAGGCCCAGGCAAGGCGGCAGGTTTGGGTGGGGAAGAGACAGAATCATGTGGGTGTTACAGTCTAAGTGGTGAAGAGTCAGCTGGCCAGTGGGGACCAGGTAGAAATGTGGGGTTCAAGACAGAGGACCAGACTCAAAATTAGCCACCATAATCCTTGACATGGAGGACTGACTTATACTATACTTATAATATATATAAGTATCTTATAGCGTATACCTAGTGTATAGTATATTATAGCCATAATGTACTATAACTATAAACTGTATAACTAGAAAACTGTTAACATAACTAGAAAAATCCACAATGGTGTACATAGATGAGCACATCGCATGGGGCATGAAACTGTCCTGTTGACGTCTTGGTGACAAATGCTTCCTCTGCTGACTTACATGATACATGGCACAAACAATTTCCGGACTTTGATATTTAGGATGAAATCCCTGACTACTGCCGTGCCGCCTCCTACAATGGACCGTTAGTGGCACCTGGCCAAGAGTCTCCGTAGGTATCCCCGACCTATGGAAGTCACCGGTCACCTGATTTGGATTCTCCCTGAGTTTCAGCCATGAAGGGTGACTCGAGAGAGCAGTGACACGCTGGACAGCAAGGACAGTTCTCAAGTTCATCAGCAGAAGGTGCCAGAGCTCCACGGACTGTTTTCTAGACCATCCGGTTATGTGCGGCTACATAGCCAATTCCAAAAGCAGGGGCAGAAACAAAGCTAACAAACCAGCGATGCCGCTTGGTTTCATTAGGTGGGTGCTAGTTTGCCGAAGTGGAAATTCTCTCACAGTGTTTGTTAAGTCTGTTCGTACGGGCAGGAGAGCCTGTGTTCCTTCCTCAGGCTCTTGGCCCTCTGAACTTTGCTTATTAGCCTGTGCCAATTAGAGTCCTATCACTTGATAGCACCGCCACAGTACGCACAAAATGAAGAACTCCGAAATGAGGAAGCGTGTTAGGTCACAAGTAATAGAATTATCTCTGCCTTTTGGACTTGGAAGAAAAGGCCCACAGGCCCTTGTCATTCACATTTGAAGGTGACAAATGTTTATGCTGGGTTTCGCATGGGCTTCGGAGCACTGGTTGGGGCACTGTGAACATTTAAAGGCAAGACAAAGTCCCGTCCACGATGCCCATTGCAGCAGACTGACAGTGAGCAGCCGAAGACGGCTCAGTGGTCACGTGGTCTCAAGTGCTAACCCAGGCCCTGCATGTGTGTGGTAACTTGTGTATTCTTATCAGAGTGCTTTTGAAGTAGAAACTGTATTTTTCACGTGTGTGCGTACCTGAGGAGAAGGGATACCTGTGTGCATGATCGTGTGTATCAATGTGTGTGGAGGCCAGAGAGGAACCCTGGTGTTGTTCATTACACACTACCCACTTCAGTTTCTCTATCATTTATCAATCAATCTATCAATCAACCTATCTATCAATCAACCTATCTATCTATCTATCTATCTATCTATCTATCTATCTATCTATCTA